CCGTTGTGGTCAGGTGTAACGTGCAACAGATTTTATCCAGCTTGTCGAGGTTCTTTTGGCTGAAGAGGAAGTCTGGATGGCCGGTCCGAGCCTCTCTAGAATGTTTTGAATTAAAGAAAAGGTGGCGTGGGATAGTTGTTATAATTGTCATATTTTGGTTTACTGGCGAATCAGAATTTGACATGCAAAAAGAGGGCTTATACAAACACCACAGAAAACCACGCCTGGCGTCAGAAACGAAGGTTCTGATTGGATCAGACAAAAGGAAATGTGTCGTGTGACTTTAGCATTACGTGTCATTAGTGTCTAGTGCAAATGTTCAGGTTTATAATTACTTGTAAAATACCACTGATCACAGAATTATAATATCAAGTAATAACATTGTTATTTCACAGATTGATTGAACATTGGGCTCACATTATTATTAGTAATAACAAAGATTATGTGTTCATCAACAGAGTTCTTTGTCTTCGTCTTGAGCTGTAACAGAGGTGAAGCAGTTCAGATGCAGAGTGCATGAAAGACCTTGGCCAATATCTCATGTAGATTAGACCTGTGTCAGAGACTTTATGTCTCTGCTCGAGCAGACGCAGCAGACCTTTAGGTTAAAAACAGGACATTCATGACGCTACACGGCTATAATGTCCTTTTCTGCCGCACGCGTGACATTTTGCTTCATGTGCAGGACTATCATGTTTTGCATGAGTTGGAGACTTGCCACATTTATGACACCGTGACTGAGGAGATTTTCCTTTGTTGGCTCGTCGTGTAGTGCCCCGTAGCTGCAGTGTTCGGCTAGCGCATATAACGCAGTGACAAACGAGTCCACAGACTCTCCTTTCTGTTTGCGCATGTTGAACTTAGCACGCTCGTATATGACATTTTTCTTGACCACGAAAAGGTTCTGAAAGCCATCACGCACACCCAAGTACACTTCTCTCCCAGCAGCTGATAGATTAAGACCACGCAGGATGTCATCCGCCTCGTCACCCATGCAATATATCAACGTATTAACTTAATCCTCCTCTGAACTTACATTCAGATTACTTGTCAGGCGAAATCTTTCAGAATGGTGGATCCATTTGTCCCACTCATGCGGCTTAGAGATGTCAAAGGACTCCGGCGGCTGGATATTGAAGGTAGCGCACGGCCCCGTAGTAGCACTCTGTGTTGGCGCAGCAGCAGCTAGCCACTGGCCCGCGTTGCTAACTTCTCCACCTTGGCTCATTATGTCCTCCCGACAGTGTACAATACCCTTCCTGAACGGGTCTAAACTCTTAATGCAAACTACCAGACTTCTGACACCATGTCGTGTAATTAAAATACTGCGCGAGTCCAACTGTTAGTTCAACGTCCTTTATTTTTGCTTCCTGCCTGACCCCCCCCCCCCCCCCCCCCCCCCCCCCACACACACACACACACATACGTCATTCCCCCTGCGACTGTCATCTTTCTACAAATATCCGGTTACACCACAGGTGGGACTGACTGGTTAACAAAACTGGAGATAGGTAAGCTGGCGGAAGCTAGCAGAAGCTGTCAGGCTTCGCTGGTCCACCGTGGTCAAAGATTTGCGAGGTCGCTGCTGTAGAAGGGAGGTTTGCCAAATTTTGGCACCATGTCTCTCCCTTTAGGAGTGTCGGCCCTGCAATCAGAGATCCGCAAATTTGCTGTTCCACCATGCCGGAGGCGTCATTTGGAATTCTAGGATGTTAGTGATGTGTCGGTGGCAAACAAACCGGCTCTTTGAAGTGAACGACGGGAGCCGGCTTCCATCCCCTCACCCCTGCCCTCTTGCTTTGGTGAAAGCTACAGGCGATTGGTCAACATGTGTAACTGCGTGTCCAGACTGTCCACGCACAGAGCAGTAGGGGCGGGGAAAAGGGAGGATCAGACTCAACACGGCAGAGCACATGCGGGTGGAGGGAGATGAAACATTAGCTATCCTGAAATGCCATCAGATGCCTGATGTGAAACGTTTTTTGGGGAAGAGAGTTCGCAACCCCTGACAAAAAAGAATTGTGAAAACTTAAGTGAAGCTATCCGTAGGTTTGAAAAAGCAAAAGAAGCAGGAAGAAAGTTTGTAGCAATACTGCCAAATATTTTATTCACAGTGCTGCAAACACTGAAACCTGTAAAGTTTATTTATTTATTTTTTTACTATTGGAAACTGTTCTTTGAGCCTCTATCAGAGTACGCAAAACTTTGTTGGGGCTCGTGTGGCGTGTGAGCGTCCTGTCATAGTGTCCCGATTGATAACGCGCCCTGGCTACTTGTCCAAGGGGATGTCCCTTTGGCTGACTGGTTAGCATGCGTGACTCTCACTTGGGAGTCTGGGGATCGGACCCCGCCTGGACCCTCGTCCTTACACCCTGCTACACTCACAATAACCCAGATAAATTGCCAAACAACTTCACAATCTTAAAAATGTTTCAACTTAACTTTGTTTTTTTATTTTTCATCTCCGCTAAATATTTAAAGCTATAAAATGTTAGAACGTTGTGAAGCATGAGAAATGTTTTAAGCTAGCTTGTTTTACAAATTTGCCACTGTAGCTTCATGAAATGAAATTACTTTAGTTGATAAACATCGTGTTGAGTCAACACGATTCTTTAACGTAGTTTATCATAAATTCAATTATTTGGTTTGATGAGAGGTAACTGAAGGAAAGAGAATATTATATTTGTTAGACTTATTTTAAAGGGGCATTATGAAAGTTTGACAGCCAAAACATGTATAGAAATAATAAATTTCTTCTTCATACATTCTCCTGCAATGCCCTGGTCCTGTAGAATGAGCCCTGGCATTTTTACTGTGATTGCCTGTTTTTCTGTAAAATCACAGGAAAAGAGAGTTGAGCTGAGCTGCTAGGGTCGAGCAGGCTGCTTCATGCGCGTTCACGTGCAGGCATCACTCGTAGCATTTGCTATCAGTAGCTTTAGCAGCAGAGAGAGAGGTAGTGCCAACTCAGCGACTTTGTCGCTGTTCCTAACGCCTAGTGATGACCCTAGCTACATTTCTGAGGACCCTTAGCTACTTTCTTCTAGATATTTCCTGCAAATTAGCAACAGAATAGCCATTTTCACTCCGAACCGTTCTTTTAACGTTGTTTTAGCTGTATCAAGGATATAAATATTACAGATACCGAAAACACCAGTGGCGGCTTAGCTCATCCAGTTAGACATCGGACTTTGACGCAAGAGACCTGGGTTTGATTGTGGGTGAGAAAATAGATATTTTAGAGTTTCTTTTTTACATTAATGGTATTTTTTTTTATTTACAGTAAGATGCCCAAATTTTTATTTGAGACTCGCCGAACGGCATTGAATTCACAGATTAAAAAAGATGTGGGTTCAACTTTCATTTTGGAACAATTTTTCAAGCAAGGGAAGGGCATGATCTGAGCATGCAGGAGGACTGACCCATCATAAACCTTTGTCGGCTGTGCTGAAGAGAAAGGTGCATAACCAAATTATTTAATTAGCTGTGCATTCTCCTGTCCTCTGGGCCTCACACACACACGGGACTGTCTCAGCTGTTATTTTTGTTGAGTGTGCACGTACAGCATGCGCACCTCGTGCACGAGCCTACTATTGAAGCTGCCGTTACGCTTTTGGCCTGAGGGGGCAATCACGAGCATAAAAATTCAAAAGTCCGTAAAGTCCCTTTAATCACGTGGAATCGATGTACACAATAAAATCAAGTAAATCCAAATGATCTTTTTTTGAGTGCAGAGAACATTCGGAAGAGAGAGGTCAATGGCAAACTGGTAACCGATTCCCTGACACTGCATTATTTAATTGCTCTCGCAGGATAAACAGCTAAGGACAGAGTAGCGAGAACACCATTGAGCAACGACCTCACCACCCTGTATGCTAGTCTTTTTTTGAAATAACAGAGCATACAGGCGGGAAAATCTGATATTTTATTTAAAAAGTGAAGGAATAACTATCTGATCTTAAAGATGAGACACAGCATAGGAGGCGATATTAGTAATAATCCAGACAGATTAGTCTTAACAAGTAAAACTTTATTGGAATGATACATTTTGCAAAATATTACTTTAGTTTATATTTTTTAACATACTCATTGTGTTCTAAGGGTATCTGTCAAGTTCTCCAGAGGATAAGATAGTTAAGACTGTCAAAGGCAAGAATATACAGTATTTTTCCCAAAAAGGTACAATAAACTACACAAGCACTGTACCCAGTTCATGAGGGAAAAGAAAAGTTCTGTTTTTGCTTTATTTTCTTGTTATTTTTCTGAAAATACAATTAGAAAATATGAACGCAAAACAGCTCAGATGTAAAAAGTGGTACGTTTGAATCAAGTGTGTGTGGAAACTTGAAGACAAACAGAATGTGGGACAGAGCAGTTGATAGTGTCATGATAGAAAACATATGTAAAAAAAGCTGACGTTAGATTTGTATTCTGGGAAACGTATTGTAAAAAACCTGTCAATTATTTCAGTTCCAGGAGTGAAATCAATTAGTCCCCTTCTACTCATAAAACTTATATTCGTTATTAGAAGAAATAAAGAACATGTGCTTTCCTCAAAGTGGTTTAAAAGTTTTAAAGAATTAGCACAAAGTATTTAAATTGTTTTGAAAACATGTGAAATGTGCTTTATTATTTTTCAACAGACTGGAAAAACTGGTTGGTGACCCACTGCACTATTTAGTGTGATGCAAAAAAACTATCCAAAAATAAACAGCAATGAGATTGTTAGCTCTAGAAGCAACGGTTTCTCCGACGTTCTCAGGTCCGGGGGGGGGGGGGGGGGGGGGGGGGGGGGGGGGTGGGGGGGGGGGGGGGGGGGGGGGGGGGTGGTCCCTTGAGCCAATTGGCCTGCTTTAACCACATGCAAAAACAACAACAACAGTCAAGCTCACCAAATAAACATTATAAAAAATACACGTTTCCACACATCTCCATTTCAGGACATTCAAAAGGTTACCTGCGTTTCCCAACAGAGATCGAGTCAAAAACATGAAAAAAAGTCATGTTACGAGACTGACGGATGGATCGATGCACGTCGAACTGCTCACAGAAGCTTTTCAGGGAGACGGACAAAATCTAGCACCGAGGGCCTATTGTGAAATGTGGGTGGGTGAAAGTTTACAGCGTTCAAATCAAAACGATGTGTTCTGTCAACAAACCAGCAATAGGACTTGGTCTGCGATTGTCTTGCATCCACAGAAATAAACTTGGCAAAAAGGGACGGCTTCAGAAGAGCTTCCCACGTGGAAATTGTATCGTAGAAAGCTGGAGATCCCAACAGCCCAGCCCCCCTACCCCCACAAGCCAGGGGACAGGGTTACCAGTCAGAAAGAAGGGGGGGCAAATATGTCCAAGACAGACCATCATTTTCAGTGGCAATTATCTTGCAAACATCATCTGCCCTAAAGCAAAAGATGCCCTGAAGGAGTGACACATCTAACTGGACTTTGTTCCGTCTTCAACAGAGCGCTCTGCATCTATTTTAATATCCAACAGTTTAGCCACAATATCCGGTACCTTAGCTTGGATACTCTGAGCCAACGTTGGAAGTCATACTGCACAAAAATAACATGCAAATGGTGTTGATAGGTTTCGCTACTGTTTTGTGTTTTAATCCTCCACCACAACCATCATCATTACATGTAGACAGCTGCAAGTCTGCCAATTTGGCAGAATGTATATGTATTCATATATTTATTTATAAAATCCTTTCAGTTTTACAGCTTTGAGACAGAGTTCAAATGAGGGACATATATATATATATATATATATATATATATATATATATATATATAATTATATATATATATATATAATTATATATATATATATATATATATATAATTATATGTATATATATATATAATTATATATATATATATAATGACTAATAAAATAAACAATGGCCAGGAGTGTCCATAATGTCAGCAGCTGCTACACTGCAGCCTATTCACCCACCCTTGAGCACTAAATAACACACAAGCACAGTGATCGACACAAAAAAAGACAAAATGATCAATAATATTTTTTAAATGCTCTAATAAATTTAAATAAGAGAAGGACAGACTCAGGTGCAGACCTCATGTTTACTTCTCTCAGGTCCCAGAAGGTTTAAGACCTAGACAATTTTCACTGTGATCAAAGAGGTCGCTGCTGCTTCAAACGCAAGCAGCGGAGTGCATCATCCACCTAACAACCATGCCACACTGAGAAGACCAAGGCAGGTGTGGACAGTTTCAAGCCTCCAACCAAATGACCACGAGTCACGACTCTGCATCGACGTGTTCGACTGTTTTCCAACCAGTTGGCATTATGACAGGCACATCTGTTGGACTTGGTATTGCTTGAACAGATTCCAGATGGAGCAATGCAAGGGCACCAGGCTGATAGGACACAACAATCACTCTACAATCACTGGAAAAGCTCGTAGAGTGGGGCCATTAAAAAAAAAGAAAAGAGCCTAACAGATTTGGTACCTTCACAGAAAATCCGTGCCTCCACCTTCAAAGACTGCGAATGTGTCATTATGTCATCAGAAAAATACAATTCTAGCCAAACAGCAACAATCTATGCTTGTTCTTGTCAAGAGCCTTTCACAAACACATTAAAGGATAAAGAAATGGATAGCAAACGGTAGAGAAACAATCAGAAATGGCAACACTGCTGGTTCTGAAGATCTGTCCTCGCCCTGCCTACCTTTCCAATTGGGAGGATTTTACATTGTTTTTTTTCCTCATCACATATGAGCAAGTTAACAGTCCACTTTGTGTTTCCTGTCCTTACATCCCCTTTTGCTTTCCACATCTCTGCCCCTCTCTCTGCTACTCGTGGTTGGAAGCCTAAAACTCTGCAAACTCCTTTGCACACTTCTCTGTGAAAGAAACTCTGATCTCCTCTTCCTCGTAGTCATCAAAGTTACTTGTGTCACCGGGGCCTTTGCACTTGGGGATAAAGGGAGCTTCCACCTGGAACACATCAGACAGAAAAAAATAACCAAAATGATGTGGTGTGGTGTGCTGGAAGGCATCCACAATGACAAAACAATTATTTATATTCATTTAGTTTTTTTATTTTAACTGATGGCAATGCGTGTACCTCAAAGGCTAGAAAAAAAGACTTGAATACTCACAAGTGCAAGACTGATTCAACCTGGTCACCTTTTTCTGAAGCCACTTTTTCTTTAAATAAGCTGCCAATTGTCTTCTAAGATGGATTAATGTAATGAAAATAACAGAAAGTTGCTGCATTCGCTGCATCCTGTGCATGCAGGCAGATAAAAACCTCTTGAGCTGTGAGGTTTTTTATTTCAGTGTTTCTTTAATCAACAGCAAACACAGTTAGTTATGTTGTTGTGCTTCCTTTCCTTTTCTATTTTCAAGTCATTAAAAAAGCCCAACATTAAGAATCCTTTGACAGGAAGAGGTGGTTAAAACCAAGTTCTTTGCTTTTTTCTGCTCCTGTAAGAGGACACCATGGGCACACAATGCTACTGCGAGAGGCGGCCTCACCTTCTTCTGGTAGATGGCAATCCAATCCGTAGTGGCAAACCACTTGTGACCTTTGATATCGTTGACTCCATTTCTGAGGTTGCCAAAGCGCTTGGTCAGGTCCACCTGCAGCAGGTTTCTCAGCAGGTCCTTCAGGTCTGAGCTGAAGTGAGAAGGGAAGCGAACCTACAAAACGGTACGAGTAAAGATTCTGGGTGTTCACAGCTGGAGAAACTGAACAGAAATGTGCAAAAACTGAAAAAAAATAAAAATAAACTGTCAGTTTAGTAAATGGCATTAATGCAACCATTGCCCTAATTAGCAACATTTTCCCCACCAGCACACAGGAATAACGTGCTGCTAAAGCTGCCACAAGGTGGTGTGATGCACCAAGTTCTTCAGCTAAACACCTGCCGCAGTGATCCTACGTCTGCTTCTGCACTTTTATCAGGACAGAATTACAAAGTGGAAAATGCTTCTGATGAAAGTGTTTTATAGGAATGCCTGAAATAATCCTTTAAAGCACAAAGTGATATTTCTTAAATGGAGATATATTAGTGTAAAAATCACACCAACTGCATAACATCATTCATTTCTTCATTTACTTTAAGGTCTTCCAGCTATTTTTCCTAATAGCTTGTAAGAACCTGACGTCAGCATCCTGACACCTCAGCTGTACACAAATACTTGAGCCTCTTGTTTGAGGGGATTACAACCATTTCTGTGGCTTCCCACATGCCACCAACCAATTCAGAAGGCAAAAGTCACATATGAATCATTTCTACAGCAGCTATGAAAATAAATTAGATGAAGTAATGAATATTATAGAAGCACAAATGTAAAAAACAAGCTGGTCCTTCCTACAAACTCACCTTCCCAGATACAATCTTTTCATAAATCTGAATGGGCTGATCTGCAAAGAAGGGCGGATAGCCCGCAGCCATCTCATATATCAGAACTCCCAGAGCCCACCAGTCCACTGCTTTATTGTAACCCTGGAAACACAAAAAGATCGTCACTCTTGTTCTAAAAGTAAAAACCAGGAAACACTTCCACACATAAAGCTCCTGCACCGCCACAATGGCATACTGATCTCGGCCCGTTACCATGAGCTGAGCTCAGCACTTACTTTACTGAGGATGATCTCTGGTGCCAGGTACTCTGGAGTCCCGCACAGTGTCCAGGTCCGACCTTTCACCCTTTTAGCAAATCCAAAATCTGTTACCTAAGCAGAGCACAACGTGCAGAGTTCAGAGAGCTGCTGGCATTCTGGGAGACCGAGCAGACTGGAGAACTTCTCTACGACAGTTACCTGGATGTAACCTTGCTGGTCAATCAGCAGGTTTTCTGGCTTCAGGTCTCGATAGATGAGATCCAGAGAGTGAAGGTATTCAAAGGTTAGTACAATCTGGGCTGCGTAAAAGCGGGCGTGTGGTTCACTGAAAAGCACACAAACCTCAGCGTTTACCACAGCAAATGGCGGGCTGAGCCCATTCAGCAGTCCACTTACCTGAATCTACCGATCCTCCTTAAATGCGAGAACATTTCTCCCCCAGGAACATACTCCATCACCATATACAGATTACTGTTGTCCTGCAGCCAAACAGGCAAAGGTCTACACTGGCACTCAACAGGAAAAGCACAAGGTGCATGGACAGGTCAATATTTAAATGCACACCTTAAAAGAGTGCTCCAGCCGCACCAGGAAGGGGAAGCTGACCGCTTGCAGGATGCGTTTCTCATTCAGTGTGTGCTCTATCTGCTTCAGCTTCACGACCTACGAAACATCAGGTGTTTTTATTCCCTCAACACAGAAACAGACCATTTCTTTTCATCCTATAGCTTCACATTGTTTCACTTTAAAGTAGTGACCTTCAACTTTTACAGGCTGATCATATGATGATAAAACAGGTGGACACTTGTGACTGAATGACTGACTTCCACAAAGTGTCATTATTGAGTCCAGCAGTCTCTTATTTACCAGGTTTAATCTTTTAAATGCCATTAGTAATATTTATACTGTACCTTCTGTTTATCAAGTATTTTCATAGCAAAATGTTGTCCCGTCTCTTTGTGTTTAACCAACATGACTCGACCAAACGAACCAGTGCCTAAAGTCTTCAAACGCTCGAAATGATCCAACGCGGCGGTTTGCTGGAGGATGGAAAAAGAAACATCAGTTAAGACAAAAAGAAACATTACCTGGAGAATAATGTTTGAGTGTGCCATGTCAATAACACACTTGACTAAATCTGATTGTTTAATGTGATGGGAACGTCTTCCAATGATACAACTATAAACGTCAGCAGAGGGCGCAGTGCTCTTGAAAACAAGTGTCACCAAAAAGCCCTCAGGGGTCCAACAGTTTCCATAATTCTGCCAACAACAGCAGCGAACCAGCATAGACGGACACCAAGTTCATCTCTAGATCACACATTGTGCCATGCATTCTGCAGTAACAACAGCTTTTAAAGCCCCTCATGCAGTCTAACCTGGGCTGGATTCTCCCATTTCTTCAGGAAATCTTCTTTGGCTTTGGCCAGAAACTCCTTCACTGCAAACAGAAACAGGAAGTAGGCTTTCAGACAGGGTTTTTGTTTACAAATACATAACTATAAACAGAGCATGGAGCTGGAAAGAAGCACCTGCAACTTAGCTTCGATAAACATCTGACTCTGTGTAGATACAAAATACCGTATTTTCCGGACTATAAGCCGCTACTTTTTTCCCGCGCTTTGAACCGTGCGGCTTATAATGAGGTGCGGCTTTACTGAAGATTTTCCTTCACCTGCCACCAGGGGGCGCTTTAGCAGAAAGTGAAACAGATGGAAGTCAAAAGTGGAAATCGAAGAAAGTGCTCATTTTAATTTAGCACATGCAAGCAGCCGGCACGATGAAGAATTTTTTTCAAATCCATACCCCTTCATCATGGAAACTACATGTATGAGTTCATATGTTGCCGCATTTAAGTTGAAGGCCATCGATCTGGCAGTAAAGGAGGGAAACAGTGCTGCCGCACGTAAGCTTGGCATGAATGAATCCATGGTTCGGCGGTGGAGACGGCAGCGGGAAGAACTCATTCAAGCCAGCTTCTCCCGGGGATGATGACAGCAACACGGACAGCGACACAGAAAAGGTATGTGACGAAGCTCTTCTGAGGCTGTTCAACTCCGACACTGAAGAAGAGGACTTCAGTGGTTTCAGTGCGCAGGAGGACGATGAATAAACTAATCAATAACTTTTCTGTTTTGTTTGATACTGATCAGTTCAGTTACGTTCAGTTAAAACTACGTTTTCAATTCAGTAGATATCTGCAGCTTTTAGCTCGGTGCGGCTTATATAAGTGCAGTTCCATGTTTTTTTAAAAACGTAGTAGGTGCGGCTTATATTGAGGTGCACTCTATAGTCCAGAAATTACGGTAATGCTCAGCTTATTATAATTCAGAGAGAACTGAAGAACAAAACCTCTGACCAACACCTTACTAGGACCTGTTTTAATCTGGGTTCATGTTTCTATAGTTGCTGCCTTTGCAGAGCTGGATCACCCCCCCACTCCCCCAAAGAAAGGGAGTCATGACTCCACACATTTCTTTATTGAGGAAGTTCAAGAAGGAAGGCTGGGAAGGAGAATGTATTAGGTGTGTAATTGAGGCTTTTTGGGTTGTTCTGGAATTAACTTTCCAGATAACATCACCAATGTGAAAATTACGACAGAAGAATGAGCAAAAAGTTGCTAATGTGCAATCAAACATTCATCTGCCCTCGGTGCAGAGCAGGAACAAACACGTAGGATTATCTGCCAACAGCCTAATGCCTGTGGACAGATTAATTACGACTTGGCACACAAATGGTCATATGGAGAGGTTCATTTTTGCCCCTTATCTTTATGGGGCTACTCACAGCGCTGTGTGGGAACAGGTAGATAATTAACCCTTCCTCATTCCACATTAACAGCCTCAGCAGCTGCAGGAGTACTCCCGTTTCTACATAAAATGGTGAAAGTTACAATGAAGCAGCTGTTGTCAGAGAAATGGGACAATGAATTTGAGTTAACTATTGTTCTAAAATTACTTGAATACCAACCTACCAGGCTTTGATGAATGGCAAAAATACAAATCTAATCATTTAAAGGAGCCATATCATCCCATTTTAAACCTATGAGAGATAAGATGGGAACAGCACCATTGGCACCACTGTGATGTCATTTATCTTTAAAAGTGCATTATGTAAATGAAGAAAAAATGTTATCTAGTGGTAACATTTGGTTACTGCAACCACTTTAAACAACAACCACTGGAGCTTTTTGCCGGCCGTCGTCAAATTACGTCGGCGCTGCAGCATTAGCTGACAGGAAACACGGCAGCCCCACACTCACTGATGGTAAACAGCGGTTACGTCCCCCCTTCCTTCGTTTTGAAGAGAAAAACTGACAATCCCCCACAGCCAGCTGATATGAAATATGTGTCAGTATAACCTTCCTTCCAAAATGACTGAAACAGACCGTTTTGGGATTTTACCACTGTAAAAATCTCACTATATTCTTAAATACCGCACCTTTAATACGAGTTCTTTTCTTCAGCCTGAATTTATACCCGCAAGTGAAACTGTCGGTTTCGGCAAAGCTTCGCTCACAGTCGCTTCAGCAACACAACTACAAGAGCATCTTGGGGAAGGCAAACGTGTAAGCTATGGTGATCTAGTGGGTAACGTGCCTACCCTTTGTCTTGCTTTGCCATGAGCTGACACTAACTTGACTCCCGGTGCCTGCAGTAATTTATTTAGCTAGCTAAAGCAGATTGCATTTTTCAAATATTTTAGTTTTTATTATTTTCTGCTAAATATTTTCTGGGAGTTCGATGTATTTTTCATGAGGAAATAACATCACATGGTAAAAAGCTCCAAAACGTGGATTTTTAAGGATATGGCCCCTTTAAATTAGAGTTTTGGAACCACATAATAAGCTGAAATGTGGTAGAAACCCTTTCAAACTGTGGCTTTCATGTCTGCCAGATCAATGTGAAACAGCCGCCAAGGGCAGTCTAGATAAAACCAGCTACCAGTGGTCAATAATGAAAGTGGATGGTAATTCATTTATCTGCTCAGTGATATAAATATTTACTCTAATGATCCTCTGGAGTGATGTTTGAATTGCAACACTAAAATTATCTTATGTGGTTATTAGCAAAAAAGGAGACCATGAAAGCACAAAGTATTGTTTTACATCCTAAACACTCATAAAACTACTGAAGGCTTAATCCTTTTTTAGCTGATCGGATTTCCTGCAAACTCCCCAAAGACTTGTAGCTCCAACAATAGGATGGGAGAAAGCCAGCAGAAATGGCAAAGAGCAAAGTTCACATAATCATGTCCGGAGAACCGCAGCCCCTACAAAGAGCTATGAAAGCAGAGTGGTCACCAGGGAGAAAACATTTCCCGATACATTTTTCTGCTCCACTTCCAAGGAAAAGAGTCCAAAATGGACCAATTACAGGAATACGGTGATACTTTTCCAGGGAAAAATGACATGTACAGGAAAAGTGGACCTGCAAGCTAAAAAGCCAGATGACCACATAACATCGAACCTCTGCTGAAGTTTCTTCAGTCTCTGTCAGATTAAAATTTGTTGCAGTTGCTTAGTTTGCAGATGACATAAAAAGCTCCAGACTGTGATTATCCTTGGACTACTTATTCCTTACCATCTGGGAGGACTATGGGTACCTCTGGTGCTGCAGCCTCAGCTGAGCATGCCCCTAATTCACTTGAGCGCGAAGAGGACTCCCTCTTGCTTGCATGATGCCTTCTGGAGCTCTTCCTGTCACACATGAGCCTTGCAAGTCTCCCTGTACGTCTTCCTCAGCCTAGGGCCCCCCCCCACTTTCCACAGTCTGACTCGTGACCTATCGTCCCTAAGAGTGACCCAGACAGATAAACAAATGTAAAAACAAAACAAAACAAAACAAAAAAACCCACAAAAACTGTCAAGTGTCCTTGATAGCAGAAGGTGATCCAATTCTCCAGTTACGGTGTGTCACTTAAAAAGAGACCAGAACCCAAACTGTAGCATCCACATCCCCGGTGCATTCAAACATAGGCTGGAATGCTGCACTGCTCCTCGTAACGCTCGTGTGGATCAATTGGACCCTTGCTTGGTTTGTATCAATATTTATTCTGTACACGAAGTGCTCACTGCTGTTCGCTCTGATGGCACGCGCACACACGCATACACACACAGGCTATATATTGATCAAATCAGGGGCATATTCACCAGGAGGAGGGGCATAAAACACTGGCTGGTATAATTAAGCAGAGTTAATCTAGGCCTAAAACCCCTGAGGTGAACCAGACAGCTCTATATTAAACTAAAACCTTCCCTAATTAGCAGAACCAATCAGATGTTCCATCTTTGACGGCAAACCTTTAGAAACGATCAGGGTGTTTTCAAAAACACAAAAGTGGCGCTCTCAGGAGACGAGCTGAACAGGAACATCCGCCATGCTGGAACTTTCTCACCCAGCTCAAATGAACCAGAGTCCATCTAGTGCCAGTGCTGAATTGATCCTCCAAAAATCAATCCATCCCTCTCCTGGGCCTCGCTGGCCCACTCTGACGCAGAAATAGGGGGGTTATATTGGGGCGAGCTGACCAACATTAAATTACGAAGAGTGGCACAATCAGGTCTGAGTTGACACCAAAACTCCTTCAGATGGTTTTATGTTTGTGCCGCACTCTGGAGGAGAATGAGAGGGAGCAAACAGAGGCGTATATAAGCTGAAAGTGTGATTGGGAGTCTGAAACGGTGAAAAATCAATTCCTGACATAAGCTGAATACTACCAGAGGACTAGGAAACTAACCAATGGAAAGTTGTTTTATAATCTAGCGTCCTGAAACCCAATGGACTCATAAATTACTGACCAGTTCTAAGAGCTGAAAATCACTCAGGGAAATATAGCTTTATGGTGTTTTCTCTGATATTTAACAATCATCAATAGCACGTCTGAATTCATCTGCTTCGCTGTAACCCCGGCCTCACAGTAGCCCTGGAAATAAAAAAAACTATTTGTAAATCTAAAGGTTTGCTGTCCTTTTCTGCAAAATTCACTTAAAGATCTATGGTATGAAATAAACTTATTGCAATAAAAAACATTTTATAGCTTTTAATGGAAATCCAAAAGTGGTGCGATACATTCATCTTAGCATCCGGTGTCGATATCTATTTTACGACATCTGTTGTATTTACTCAGTGATACAAGTGTGCATAAATGGCACTTTGCCCAAAAGGTGTGCCTTGTGAGAATAAAAACCAAATCAAACCACTTCTACCACATGCAGCCCAATCCTCCTTGACGCACTGCTAGCGGTCCACTCACCACTGCCAGGCACAAGCAGTAAGCGCGTCTACAAGCAGCATGCATACGCTCCAGAAAAGCTGCTAATTTTAGCTTTGACTAGACATCAGAGCAACACATCCATGCACTTAGCACTTTCACAAATGTCCTTCCTCTTTCTGAGTGGAGACAACCTCCATTTAGACAGAGGGCAAACTTATGAGGAGACAAAGGTGTCCTGATTAGGGCTGCAGCTATCGAATATTTTTGTAATCGAGTACTCTATCGAATCTTTTATCGATTAATCGAGTACACTAATAAATGACCCTTTTGTGTTTGTAAACCATTATATCTAATAGCAGGTTATAAAATATGAAAGACCTCTTAAAATGAGCACGCAGTTGCCAGTTATTCTTCAAGTTTTATTCAAAATTAGTTTTCAAAACTTCAGCACTTCAACTTTACTTCACAGTAAACAAATGCCTGTGCAAAAAATAAGTACACAACCTGAGCCGATTTTCCCCTCGTGCGAGAATCTACCAGCACCAGAACCAGAACCGCTCACAGCGCATGCGCAAACATGGCTCGCCAGCCATTTCCCTATTAACACACGTCCGTTTGATATTAGGAAAACCTGCGATATTCGATAACAGTGCTTAATATTACGATATCGATATTACTCACGATAAATGAACAAATACTAAAGTATGCAGTGTTGATGTTGTCTGGCGTGTGACGTCTGCTCTGGGTTCAAAGCAAACAAAAATGAATGCATGAATTCCATTACAACAGAACATTTTTATTGCAAAAATATGCAGCTGCACCTGCTACTGTATTAGCAGCTGTACCTGCTACTGTATTAGCAGCTGCACCTGCTACTGTATTAGCGGCTGCACCTGCTACTGTATTAGCAGCTGCACCTGCTACTGTATTAGCGGCTGCACCTGCTACTGTATTAGCGGCTGCACCCGCTACTGTATTAGCGGCTGCACCCGCTACTGTATTAGCGGCTGCACCCGCTACTGTATTAGCGGCTGCACCCGCTACTGTATTAGCGGCTGCACCCGCTACTGTATTAGCGGCTGCACCCGCTACTGTATTAGCGGCTGCACCTGCTACTGTATTAGCGGCTGCACCCGCTACTGTATTAGCGGGTCACCTGCTACTGTATTAGCAGCTGCACCTGCTACTGTATTAGCGGCTGCACCCGCTACTGTATTAGCTGCTACACCCGCTACTGTATTAGCGGCTGCACCTGCTACTGTATTAGCGGCTGCACCTGCTACTGTATTAGCAGCTGCACCCGCTACTGTATTAGCTGCTACACCTGCTACTGTATTAGCGGCTGCACCTGCTACTGTATTAGCGGCTGCACCCGCTACTGTATTAGCTGCTACACCTGCTACTGTATTAGCAGCTGCACCCGCTACTGTATTAGCAGCTGCACCTGCTACTGTATTAGCAGCTGCACCTGCTACTGTATTAGCGGCTGCACCTGCTACTGTATTAGCGGCTGCACCTGCTACTGTATTAGCAGCTGCACCCGCTACTGTATTAGCAGCTGCACCTGCTACTGTATTAGCGGCTGCACCTGCTACTGTATTAGCAGCTGCACCCGCTACTGTATTAGCAGCTGCACCTGCTACTGTATTAGCAGCTGCACCTGCTACTGTATTAGCAGCTGCACCCGCTACTGTATTAGCAGCTGCACCTGCTACTGTATTAGCAGCTGCACCCGCTACTGTATTAGCAGCTGCACCCGCTACTGTATTAGCAGCTGCACCCGCTACTGAATTAGCAGCTGCACCTGCTACTGTATTAGCAGCTGCACCCGCTACTGTATTAGCAGCTGCACCCGCTACTGTATTAGCAGCTGCACCCGCTACTGTATTAGCAGCTGCACCCGCTACTGTATTAGCAGCAAAACAACAAACTACATGCATGCAGTTTCTCAGTGACTTTAAAACATCACCTCCACCATAAAACTTTTTCTGATGCTCCAAATACAGAAAAACGTCCCTTACCAGGGTTTTTAGAATAAATAAAAATATCTGAAAATAAGTTTAAATGTTAAATAATAGTTAACATCACTTAAATGCAACAGCAAATTCTCTCAATTGCTACTGAGCATTTTCTCCACTTATGTGGTTATGATAGAAGGCTGTTGCTGTAACTGGGAAGTGAACTGTGCTGGGCCAAACTAGGAGAATATTAAGATTTTCTGAGGGAAAGAGAAAAACAATTGTCTACCTTTCAGAAGAGGAACTGGCTAAAAAACTACATGGAAAATATGTGAAAACGTTTGGTTTTAACCCCAAATTGAACAAGTTTACCTAGATCTTAAAAAGCAGCTCAGATGATGAAACTGCAACTATGATTCTGATAACAAGCTAACAAATTGAACTGGCACAGTGAACGGACCCATCTGATTGGCCGCATATCAGAAGGGCTACATTTGATTGGTCAAATAATACTTCCGCGTAAAAAACAGAGCTGGTTTACAAAAAGGTGATGTATGACACAGATGGAAATGTTTGAACCAAACATTTATCGCCATTTTTGACGTGCTTTGCGATGGGCCTATCGCACGTCCTGTTATCGCGATGACGATAATTTTTCGATATATTGTGCAGCCCTAATTTCTACACTGTTTACTCTCACACAATAACAAGGATTGTCGAGAAAGCATGTTTGCCGTGATTATGTCAAATTATACTGATCACAAAACATTTATTTACTTTCTTTCGTTTTCCTCCGCCACTCATAAATACCTGTGTCCTCCTGCAGCAGTCCCGAGGGACAACAGACTTCAATAACAACACATTAAAAAGTCTGACGTGTTGCTACCAGACGCACAATGGGAGCTGAAACTGAGTGCTACAAACGAAAAAGTCGCATAGTGTCTGCAGAATATATAGCGGACCTCCAAGTCCGCTTGCAGAAGTGACATTTACGTGTGGATGTTCCCTGGTCAGGTGCTGCAGCATCGAGGATGTGGTGTTGTGGTAGGCTAAACCAATTTTACAGTATTTCCACCGGACTACGTTTTCTGCCTTACGAAGTGAAAAATGGTCACACACCTTTGACATTTTCTGTCTTTTTCGCACTCCACCGGGGTCCACGTTGTCCGCCATGGCTTAAGAGAAAGTTAAGTAATTCGCGTGTGCATTCAGTGCAGTGTGTATGTGCGTCACTTATTTAGGCCCGGGTGAAACATGACCCCGAGCGATTGCAAAGCCATGAATTAAACATGAATTAAACACGAATTAAACAAAGCCTCGAGGCAGAGAATTTGACTCGAGGCTTTTTTGTACTCGAATTAATCAAGGTACTCAAGGAATCGTTTCAGCCCTAGTCCTGATGGTGCTCCAGTCTAGTCATGTTGAGCGATTTTTTCATTTGGGTAATAGCACACCCAACGCTTGTGGACAAGAGCTGTTGCACCTGCTATCCAGAGATGTGCTTCCGCAATTGAAGCTAACAAACTAAAACTTAGATGATCTACAGTAGTAATGCGTACATCTCTAAGGCTACATTCAAACTGCAGGCAAATGCACATCAAATCCAATTGTTTCCCCACATGCGGCCCATATCAGAGTTTTTGTGACAATCTGAAGAGCAAATTTTCAAATCCGATCCAGGTCACTTTTATATGTGGTACTAGTGTTGTCACGGTAACCGGTGTAGCGGTAAACCCCGGTAAAAAAAGTTGACAGTAATAATAACCGTCTCGTTTTTAAAAAAAAAACTATATTATCTCGGTGGATTACCGTGGCTGCGGTGTAGGCGCAGTGACCCTTACCAGCCACCGTATCATCTGCTGAAGTTGACGGCGGTACATGCGTACTTCGTTGTTTACAACCAAAACTTTCTTGAAGCTAAAGCTGAAATAATGGCCAAAGGAGGAGATGGCAGTGCTCCGGAGGACATTTATTATCCCTCAAAGAAGACAAAGTGGGAAGTACGGGCATCTTTTGGATATTTGAAGAATGCCGAGGGACAGTTGATAGAAGACGGCTATCCTGTTTGCAGCACGAGCAGAAAAAGTGTCTGTGAAAGGCAGCAACGCTTCAAATCTCATGACACATCTGCGTGGCCATCACCCGCAACTCTACAGTCAACGCAAGGCAAGCTAACGTTAGCGTTTTAGCTAAACTGCGTGATCCGAGGATTTGGGTTGAGGGAGAACGCAACGAGTCGCTATATAAAGCAGCCGCAGCGCCGCTACCTGCATATAAACCGTGTCACGGACACCGCCATGTTGCAATGACGCTATGCATTACGGGGCTCCCAGGGGCAGATAAGAGTTGGTCTCTCTCCGAGAATAATTATGAATTTAACAATGATTACTGCCTGATGACATTTTCCCACATCTGCAAAGCTCACTGGAACACAAACCGAGGACAATATTTTCCTGATATAGGGTTTATTACTCAAGTAAGGGTAAAAAAAGTATCTGATTAGAAGGCTACTTGAGTACTGAGTATCATCTGATCTAATATTTTTAAAATGATGACATCAAACAGACATGAAATAAGAAGTTATGGGCAAATATTGGTATTTTAAAGACTAAAGGGGAAAAATGTAAACAAATAAACAACATAATTACAAAATAACACATTTTAGGCTAAACTTAGACACAAACTGAGGACAATATTTTCCTGAAATACAGGGTTTATTTAGTTGTCTGAAAATGTTACACTTTAAAAAAAAATACTGCGATAATACTGAAAACCGTGATAATTTTGGTCACAATAACTGTGAGGTTAAATTTTCACACCGTGACAACCCTATGTGGTACCGATACATATCTGAAATTTTTGAAAGCGACTTCAGTCTGAGCGGTCAGGTTGCATGATCAAATCAATCTCCCATTCTCACCTCCGCTGATCAGTAGAGGATTTGGCAGAGCGTGCTATCTGGAGGGAACACGTCCTCCATGAGCGCACTGATCAGATCCCTGAAAGAGCTCTTTCTGGAGACATGCTGTGATTTGGGACCCTTTGTGGAGCGACAGACAAACTGCACTAATTCGATTCCAGTCAATATTCATTTATAAACTACGAGAACCTCCTCTGCTCCCCGATCATACCATACATGTGTTGCCAAGGTAACCAAACTATCACCAAAGAGAACCCGTTGCTCTACGATTCATCAGATTCGATTTAATGCGGGACTATTTACATTTATGCCTGACAGGGTGTGCCTATGATGTTTAGGTGAGTACTGGATTTTTCTTCTTCTTCTATTTTCCAATGTAGCCATGTGATTCTGGATGCAATTACAAGTATGAATGAATTTCACCAGTGTGTGATGACTAATGGGGACTTTAACTTTGAAGAAAACTGTAACAATGAATGAAGTAAAGCCAACAATTGGTAAATTATATTTTATTTTATACCAAGTTCCATCTTCATTATTTCTGATTTCCAGAAAAATGAACTAATATTGCGACAGGATCCCAAGCTGCTTTTTCAGCTCTGGAAGCTGCGAAGGCCGGTGACTGGCATGCCAACAATACGGTCCACCGATAATCTCCAGTCAGCAGAGACAGGAAGTGATCTAAACACAAACCCGGTTGCTTTTATGCAGAGCAGGAGGAAGGACAGAAATATTTATAGAAGGTAAAACAGCTGTACTTTGATGTGTGCCACCTCACTGGCAGATGAAATTCTAAATGCATAAACAGATGACATATCTGGTTTCATGCAGGTCCAGCCCAGAGGTTTGAAAAGTGTGTAGGCAGAGCTAAATCATATTATCAATCACAAGATTCAAAACAAGCCAGAGAAATTTACAGGCACAATAACAAAGATCTGTTACAAAACTGAAATGTATGTATGTAGGTTTACCTGGCAGTTTAACTGGCCAGTGCTTCTACAACAACTACGAAATTCATTATTTTCTCTCCAACTAAACACAAAAGGTTCACCAAGAAACAGTGTTGTTTTGTTTGTGGATACCACACACAAAGATACAAAGGTACATGCGGCCCAAAAGAAAGAGCACGTCAAAGCCAGCAAACACCCAACTCATAAGATGAGCTGTAGAAGTAAAGAGAAAGTCAGAGGTTATTTCAGAAAAACGGGTTTGTCAGTAGTGACAGCCAAAGTCAGAGGGACCAATGAATTACAGCTCCAACGCGAATGTATGCCTCTGTCCAGCTCCAGGGAGAAAACTCACTCAGGCTGTAACCCTCTAGCTCCTCCTGTGGTTGATGATGTGTGGCATCTCCACTGCTCACATCCCCGAGACAAGGTCCAGCTCGGTGAAACAACCTTCCTGCCAACTTGTGAATAACAGACATCGCACGAGGCTGGAGGAAGCCAACTCGCAGCTCTAGTAGCTTAGCTTTGTACTCTGCAGTCTGCGTAGACCTTTAGGAAAGTTGGAAATCCACAGAGTTCATAGCAGGAGCATGTTAAAAGGTCCAGATTTTCTGCTTTCCTGGCAGGCTGTGTTTCATCTACAGAATGGAAGAGGAGATGGCAAATGGTGCGACATCTGGGCTGGACCTTCCTAGCTCCTTCACTTCCTGCTACAATCCAGAGTCTATCCGCCCTGCTTCTTCCTGTGGGCCTGTTATACCCAGGCAGCAGCTTGCTACTTGAGATTTCAATCCAGTGTAAAGTTCCTTGGGAAACAATGGCTGTGCACCTGAAACTGTCTCCACACTATTTTATTTTTCCATAAAGGCCAAAATGAGCTGACATGCCGTCATTACCTGCAAAGTAATGCCCCTTGGGTGTGGGCTGAGCCCCTGGTCTGCACCTGTTTCTGGAGCTCAGGGTGGCTGACAGTCATCATGCTGATAAGACCTGGAGCATGTCACATGAACAAATCTAAAGTGCCTTTTCTGTCCCAGTTTCTCACGCTTACCGTTTCACCTGTTTCTATTTCTACTGAAGCATTAAAGCATACTTTAAAGCAGTGAGACCTGAAAGTCATGGCCTAGTTATTAGTTGGGTTAACAGAGAGGGTGGAGTTCGTTCTTCACATCTACTCTCTACCTGTAACAAGGAGCTGATGCTCATTTCACAGTTATCTGTTCAGACTTTGCACATGTGGGTGTTACTTATGCCGATATAAGACATTAAACTGTTTGCTGGGTGTTTTGAAGGCCAACTGAAATAAGATCCAAAAATATGGATTGAGACAATTTTCATACAAAGGAAAGTAATTTAATTTATTTCCTGAACACTAGGGAGACTTGTGTAAAAGTGTGCCATCTCTTTTGATCACCTGTAATTATGTAATGACGTGTAATAGAACAGACTGATCATGATAACAATTTTATGTTTTAAAAAAGGTTGCTGAAAGAATCTACATAGACGTCAAGTGAACACAACACACACAAACACAATCATTGACACTAGAGCTCTTGTTCTAAATGATGCTCATCACATGCTGTTCAAGAGACTCTTAAACTCCAAAGTTTCAGCCTGAAGATGATCACCCTCGTGCATCATATGATTCCATCCTGGTGGCTTTTCTCCCTGCACTGATAACAGCTAACTTGTCCTTTCCTTCAAATTCAGCTGGTAGGAAGCAGTGTGAGAGGATGTGTTTTTTGAATTTTGTTCTAATTCACTGCAAAACAAAACACAGCAGGAAAACAACACCACACAAATGCTGGCAAATATTTTTGTAACCCTTCTTAACTTAGTTAAATCAAAAGGGGAGACATCTGAAAACCACAGGAAAACCTATGACTATTGTATAAGACTTGTTGTCAACTCCTACCTCTGAAAAGTACCCGGGGCTCTAAATCACGAGCTTTCCCACAGGATTAGAAGGAATGGCGTTTTCTGCTGTCCGGTGTTAAGTGGTCTAACATTTTGCCTGAGTTCATAGTGGATAACAATTTAAAAGCTGACGAACCGTGTGAAGTTTACAGTTTAAACGCCGTCACTTAAGTTATGAAACGCTGTACAGACTGTTCCTGTCTTGCAGGGGGAAACAGGAAACGACTAAGAACATGGGGCATTTCATTCCCAGAACATCTGTGGGTCAGGGTGGAGGGTACTCACCACTCTCCATCTCATTGCCCTTCTTTGCGGTGGGCGTGTTGCCCATGATGGCAGGCTGATGGTGGACCTCCTTGGGTCTGAATGACTTTTCCTTAAAGTCGTTGTTTGACTGATTCTACACTGTTAAAAAGGTCGTTGGATCGATGAAGTTGACAGCTATCTACTAGCTAACAGCTACCATTATTAGCAAACACTTTTTCCTGCTTCGCTTCAGTTGTGACTTCGAAAAACTCCAGCTAAGTGAGTCTCCAAGTCTGCAGCTGGAACTGACGCTAGAGGTTAGCTAAGTTAGCCCGTTAGCTGGCACAGGCAACTAGCAGATACCAGCTTGCTAATGTTAGCTTTTTAAATGTCCAGTAACGCACTGGCAAACGTTGGTGTCATCCGACTTCTCCTGTATTACGACTGTGATTGGGTTTATCAAAACCCAGTTCTTAGTCAATTCGTCGAAAGATATTTCCGTATTACTAATTAGCGAGCTAACATTAGCTATAGCGTTCCTATCCCTGAAGGCAGGCCTTGGTAGTTAGATCCCAGATTGCAAAATTTCTATCCGGGTATTTCGGTTTCCGCAGGTGGTTATTTAATTCGATGTATCTCCATTCGTTCCTGAATCATCGGTGCAGCGTTTTCCTTGAACCGACCATCTGATAGTCGTTTCTTCAGATCAACAGTCCCATTCCATTAATCTTCAGACCGCTAAGGGAAACTCCAGTCACCCATACCCCAGGTCCCGCCTCTGCTACTCTCTGATTGGTTCATTGAACAAACACTTTCTTGACAGATGCCATGCAGCGATTTCTGATTGGTTTAAAAATATAACAGCTAATAAATGCATTGATGCGATTGGACTATTAAACGGCTATATCCCGCCTTCTGGACTTAGTTGGAACCAAAAGGTCTATAATTACAAGAAACGTTTTGAGAAAACTTTTGTTTTATTTTGTGGGAACTAAAATATTAAGCAGAATAATTAAAAAAATCGTGTTTGAAGTCCAACATTAGAGTTGAAATGAACCACTTTTATACCTCAGATATGCAAGTGGGTGTGACGTTAGCGGGCTATTTTTAGTAACATGGAAAATATGAAATTGTTCTCTTAAATGACATTTGTACACATTACCCCAAGATAAAACACACTTAAACGTGAGCTGCCTTTGAAGTACACCCTAAAATTGTTTCAAAAGTATAGCTCTACACAGATAGTTAACAAATACAATATTCTTTTATTTTTAACACAAAACTGAGAATGTGAAAAAAATATGGGAAAGGTGAAATCTTTCTAACAAATCCTAATCAAAAGTTAGTATGCCAAACAATAAATCATTTTGAACAATTTGAACACAAATTGAATAGCAGATTTTTAAATCAAATTCCTTCACAGCAACATATTGCAGTCTGTTTTCCTATTGCTTCCGAGCAAAAAAAAAAAAATTGAAAATATAAAAAAAATACAAATCTGTGCTGCAACAACAAAATAAATATTGTGTTATGTTTTAACTTTTTAACATTTTATAGCTACAATTTATTGTTCACACTCATATTGCTTTTCAGGTGCTGTTCACATCTTTAAATAATTACTGAATGATGTTTAGATCCTGGTAAAAAAAATGGTCACTAAAGCAAAAAGTGAGCATCCATGTCTCACGAAACAAATTAACAAAACAAGGATGCAATAAGGCAGGGAGGTCTGCACATTATTTTATCCACATCTGAATGTCCATGGGGTCTTTCTTTAAAAGGACTTGTGCTATCACTCTTAGGGTGGGGGCTTTTCTATAAGCAATCCATAGAGTTGTCCGGTAGTAGCCCCAAAGGTGGAGCCTTGCCTGGCAGACAGGATGGAGGGAGCATGGAATTTGACGTGGGATCCACATTTTCTGAGTCTTCCATTCTTTCTGCACAGCCTTCCCAGTTTATGTGGAATCTGGTAACACGTGGGTTTGATGCCAGAATATTTCTTTGAAGCTAAAAAGAACAAGCAAAACCATTAGCTAAGATGATCGCTTGCATCTCAGGCTAAATATAGTGGAATTTAGTTATCTGATGAGATTTCAGACAACTACAAACCATTGAGTCCAAATTCTATTAAAACTGGACAGTAATTTCCTCAACACCTTTTAAAGTTGAGATAAGCACTAAAACTTGGACAGCACTAAAAAATGTGTTAGGGTTGGGGTTAGGGTACGTATGAGAAGTAATAACTGAAATAGAGAAACCACTTAGCAGGTGAGACTTCTGTTCCATCTTTCTTTTTCACCTGTGAGCAAAAGATTTTATTTCAAGTGAAAAGCAGCTAAAAAATGTGGCACCTACAATAAAAATCCTGTCATTACAGCACAACTCAGCGACTTACTTCCAAAATACACCATCTGAATGAAGTAGGCTGCCTGAAGAATGGCAGATATCTTATTATACCATACTTGATATTTATAGAACCACTGATGTGTGATGTAACGTGCTCAAGATCCTGCTGGCACATCCCCATTGACCATTGTTATCTGTCAGATGCCAATAAATTGAGCTAAATAGTGGCAAAATAAAATCTATCAATATGGTTGACAGGGCTTTCTCTGTAGCACCCCCTAGGCTCTGGAATGTGCTGCCGTTGAGGGTCGGCCTCTTAACTGTCTGGTTTTAAATCTCTTTTGAAAACCTATTTTTATAATTTGGCTTTTAACTCAGCATGACAGTCTTTTTAGTGTTAGACCTTAAGCTCTAGTTTTTATGCATTTTACGTTGTGTATTTTTTTATGTTTTAGTTTCTGCGTTTCTGTTTTATACCGTTGTAAGGTGCTATACAAATAATGCTGCCATACCTTAACTCATGCAGCGACGTAGGCGGCACAAGTAGACAAAAAGAGGGCAGTAACGGGAAATTTTACAGGTTTCTAACTGTTAAAATACACCAAAGACAACGGTGAATAGCCATCACGAGTTTGTCGGCGCCAAAGACTACAGACAGAATAAAAAGTTAAGTATCTACCCCACATGACCAGACACAAACAAGTTATAACCATCTTAATACCTTATAGGACCTTCTAACTGGGTTAAATTTGTTTATTTTTATATAAATACACAAAATGAGTTCTGTAATTGGAGCGGACGGCCTTTAAAGTCGTTGGTTTTGTGTTTACTGAGCTTGTCAGATATGTCAAATATATGAAAGTTATTTATTTACGTCTTCATAAACTGTTTGTCCCTCCTGAGATCTGTCCAGCCTCTAATGTTGTTCATTTCTGTTTACAGTGAGCTTCAGAATAAACAGAGAATCTGTTCATTTTTAGCAACAGGTCTGGATAGATGCTGCAGAGGTGCCTTTTTCCCTCCAGCGTTGCTTGGATGTGCACTATTACCCGGATGTAAACAGTAACATTCAATAATAGTAATATTCACTCCCTGATGAAGATTTTCACTCGTCCAGTGAAGAACAAAGTGACGCTGCAGCTGTGCAGCAGCAACAGAGTCTGTGCGCTTCATGAGAGTAAACATGCTTCACACACATGATCCAAAGCTTATTTCACCGGGTTCAGGACATGGTGGGTGTAGAAGGGATGCTAAAAACACAGCTAATGACAGACGTAGCAGGAATGTAAAAGAAGAAGAAAAAATAAAGCCGGGCAGATGCAGTAGATGTGAAACTAAAACGTGCATCACATCATTGATATGAATATTCCAGTGTTTTAAATAAACCAGCATTACTAACTTTACTTTTGACACCAATCATGAAGCAAAGAGCAAGTTGCTATATGGGAGCAAAGCAAGATGAAAAAACGATGTCCACCTGAAGGCCCGTTTCGGCTGTGTTGTTTCGGTGATCAAGGTGTTTTGGCCGAACACCGAAAATGCACATTTGCGATATTTTCGGCTGAATTTTCAATGCTTCCCTAGTTTTTATTCCATATAAATATATGTAAATACAGGGACAAATATGCAACACATTTTTATGGCTTGAAAGATAAGAGTTGCCAGTGTTTCCCCTAGGAATTTTTCCAGCTGTGGCGGTGGGGCCGGCCGGGGGGGGGGGGGGATTATGACACGTCTCTAAATAAAGTAAAATTTTCCAGTGCAGATTGGAGACAACCCATAGAAGCACTGATTTGATCTCATTTCAGAGAAAAATAGAACAGGTCAGATGCACCTAATAAATAAAATTACTAACAAACTCAGGAATCTTTCTTTGCTTCACTGTTCTGGTGCTGAGAATATCACTAATGTGGATCAAAGGAGATACACAGATGAATGCACCTCTTATTTATTATTTGGAGTCTACATTTACTGCAGCTGGCAGAGGCAGAGATTTTTTCTATTGATACACAAATTTACAGAATCATTTTAAATGTTAATAGGGGAAGACTGCAGGAGGGAGCGGTAAAATACAGGGGTCCCCAGCAAAAACAAGAAACTACGAGTCTGATGAAACCTGAAACCCGCTGGTTTTCCATCAGGCAGTCACGGGGCAGCTCCAACGACCCAGTGGCTGTGTTGGGTCAATGTTATCGAGCTCAGTCCGGCTCGGCAGAGGGTGAACGAGCCGAGGCGACGTCGTGCTCTGCTTAAGAAGAAGTGTTATTTTCCCGCTTCAGAAGAAGCGTCCAACGTGTTTTTACGCTTTCTCCGAGACATGTCACATCGCTAAGTTGTTAGCACCACGCGCTAACACGTCATTAGTGCAGCGTAGCCTGCTGGAGGTTTTAAGGGTTCAGATGAAACACCCGACCTCTCACGCTGCTCACACATCGATCTTAAGTTGTCGCTGTTGCGCTCACGCCGTAATACAGTATTAGATGCGGTTAAAGTCAGACATGAAAAAATAAATAAATTTTACATGAATAAGTGATGCTTAGCCTGGTGGGGGAGGAGAACCTGGCCTAATGAGCACTGGAGGAAACCCTGTCAGGATGGTCAACACTCGTTTATCTTAATGCTATTGAAACATGTAAACCACAAAGCATTATATCCACTGCTACCTTTCTAATTTCAAACTCAGTAACTTATGCTGTAACTGCACCTTGCCCTGCCTGCTCCTCCTTGCTGCCGCCGGCTGTGATCACAAGCGACAACATAGTAGTTCCCGCTGCTTCTTCGGGAAACAGCGCGAAAAAAAAAACAACTAAAAAAAACTTGGGATCTTGTAGGCGTGGCGGTGGGATTTCAGTGCCTATGTAAGGGAAACCCTGGTTGCATTATAGCCAGTGAGACTAGATAAACCATCATGTCAGCTTTGATTTGTCTGACCTGTGAGTAGTCTGGCTTGACTGGAGGATTTTCACGTAGTTCTGGGCCAGTGTACTCATTGTTCACATAGTAACCTATGCGAATAAACTCCTGACCACGGTAAGTGCAAGTAATCAGCGCCACCGTGACACCAACAGCATCACTTTCAGGAATTAATCCGGTGTTTGGAGCATCAGCCTGTCAAAAGAAATGTATAAATTTAAGAAATCATGATAATGCACAACGGTCACAAAGCCATGGAAGTTAGTTCGCAATTTTTAAAGTTACAACATCCCCCCAATCCAACTCACCTGAAACACAAACATATGTCTTCCAGCAGGAACAGGACCAACCAAGACAGAGTCCAGGATTTGGTCATACTCCTCACTTTCTGCTGATCCTACATAAATGATCTTCCATTCAAGGTCTAAAAGAAAATAAACACGTTTTTTTTTTACATTTAGGAATATGTAACAGATCACAATTTAAAACAGCGTTAGATTAAGTGCATATTCAACACATCCATCCACTTTCATCTGCTTATCTGAGGTCGGGTCACGAGGACAGCAGCATAAGCCGGGAGGCCCAGACTTCCCTCTCCCCAGCCACTTGGGCCAGCTCCTACGGGGAATACTAAGGCATTCCCTGGCCACCTGAGAGACGTAGTCCCTCCAGTGTGTCCTGGGTCTTCCTTTAGATCTCCTCCCAGTTGGACATGCCCGGAAAACCTCACCAGTAGGCATCCTGACCTGACCAGACGCCCGAACCACCTCAACTGGTTCCTCTTGATATGGAGCAGCAGCAGGTCTACTCCGAGCCCCTCCTGAATGACTAGCTTCTCTCCCTATCTCTAAGGGAGAGCCATGACTCCCTACTGAGAAAACTAATTTCAGCGGCTTGTATCCACGATTTAATTCGTTCAGTCACTGCCCAAAGCTCGTGACCATAGATGAGGGTTAGAACGTAGATCGACCAGTAAATCGGGAGCGTCACCTTCCAGCTCAGCTCTCTCTTCACCACGACAGACGGGTACAACACCCGCATCACCGCACCAATCCACGTATCGACCTCACGCTCCAGCCTTCCCTCAGTCGTGAAAAAGACCCCAAGATACTTAAACTCCTCCACTTGCAGCAGGACCTCATCCCTGACCCGGAGAAAACATGCTACCCTTTTCCGACTGAAGACCATGGTCTTAAGTTAAGTCACAAGACATAATTGATTTCAACAGAAATGTACTTTTGTATCAAGTTTTAAATGGCCCCTAATTTTTTACACTTTAACTGAATCGGAATAAGAAGGGTTTTATTGACACGTGTGAGAAATCACAACATTAGGAAATTGCTGTCATACTTGGTGCAAAAAAATTAGAAAGAAGCCCAATAATATAATAATATAGGGAGGCAATAATTAGACAAACGGCTACTATACCCAAGTTAAAGTACTGGTCAGAGCGGATCAGTAAAGGTGCAAACACAACACTGGGTCAGGTGACTGAAAGAGACTGGAGCGGCCTGTCCTACGACTAAGCTCTTTCTTCAAAAGTACAATAAAAACTTTACTTAGAGGTTTTTGGATTTACCTTTCAGTGTTTAGTGAGAAACTAAAACAGTGAAAATTCACTAATGCTAAAATATGCTGGTACAGTAGTAAAGTCAAACGGTTCTGTTGGAGGTTTCTTCCTGTTGAAAGGAAGTTTTGCTCTCCACATGCTGGTAGCTATGTGGGCTTGATGTAAACAAGTCAGTGACTTGATGCCATCTGCTGGGTTTTCTTCCATAGGAAACTTTAAACTTTCATAATGAACTGAACTCAATGCATCGAGAAGTAGGTTCGATTGGGATGTTTACTTTGTAAAGTGCCTTGAGACGACGCTTGTTATGATTTAGCACTATATAAACAGACAGAAAATGGGCATTGTATTAACGTTAACCGCTTCACAACCGAGACAGCTGCTCTGCGACGATACCCACCTTCAGGGAGGTCCTCCATACACTCAAATGTAATTTCAAACTGAAAGGGATTTCCGAAAGGACTCGGGTTATCTAGAACAGCTACGTTCAACACCTGTACCTTCGCCATTGCTGCTGGAGTGCTAAACAAGCAATGCTAACGGGAAACAAACGCTCGGTTCGGCTTCGAGTGCTTTAACAGCGACCCAACCACACAGTGTTGCTAGTTAGACCCACACTTGTGCTTTCATTCTACACGAACCTTCCTTTAAGACTAAGTATTACACCGCTTACTGTGTCAAAGTTAGCTAAAATAATATAAATATATATATTTTAAATAGTACTAATTTGCCGCTCTCCCGCCGCTTTGACTATCCTTCCCAGGTTTTACCGCGACGACGGCAAGCTGGATGACGTTTGTTTTTATGGTAAGTCAGTTTATCACATAACAAGCAGACGAGACGCTAATGACAATACATAAGTTTCTGCGAGTAAAATAAACAAATACGTCATTATTTCCATCAAAAGGTCCGAAATTTCAATTAAAAAAGTCACTTTCCCAGTCTTGGGATCAGATCTCCTTCACTTTGTGTCTAGAGGGAGTGCTCTGGACCATCTGTAAACATTGTTTTATCAGGGGAAACACATATCAAATTTTTATTTAGCTGTTACATGTTTTTATAGGTATTAGGAGTAAAATGTATTAGTTTTGCCCATCTGTAATTACAATGTAGAAAAAAAATAGTGTGATTAAATTATATGTTAAAACGGCCTGCTTAACTTTCCCCAGAGAAAACAAATGTCTAATGGCCTCTACTGACCCCTAGCGGCACCTATGCGTGAAGTTCACCATTTGTTCCCAAACCAGCATTTTTCTGGGTGCAAAGGATGTTTACATATTTTATATGTTTACACATTTTTGTATATTTTTACTCGGTTGTAAAAGTAAATCAATTGCTGCAGTTCAACAGTTTTTGGTGTCATCTTCTGATCTGTCTTCTCAGTTGTGATCATTTTTATTTCCCTCACACTAAATGAACAAACATTTCCTGATATATTTTTTCTGATGAGACTGAGAAGCTCTTTTTGTCAAATGGTTGCAATTAATTGTTCTGTTGGATGCTCATTTTTGTCTTTTTTGAAATTTTCTCTTGTTTGATTACTTTGGGGTCTTTGACTAAAACCTGTGTCCTCCAGGAAATGCCATCGGTCTTAATTGTAATAGAACAGCTTTGCTGATTTTGAGGAAAATATTTTACAAAGCTGGCCAAATACTACTAGTATTCTAGCATTCAATAAGGCGGTGTTATAGAAATGATGTCCTTAATAAATAGTAACACAAACATATCATCTTACAGAGGCACAAGTTTGAATACGAATTGTACCTGTTGGTATTCAGGTGATAGTGAGAAAACATTCCAGCCTCAAAAACCCAGAGATAATCACCAAAAAGCAGTGATGTTAAATCTCAGAGGAGGCACACAAACAGCGAAAGTGATTCCAAGAATGGTTTTACTGCTGTGATTAAAATAAAAAAGAAGCCAGGCTCGGTGACAGCAGAGAGATTACATAATTAGGAAATGTAGATTTCCCAACAGGCTATTCCTTGTTTAGATTTAGTATATTTTGTTTGAGAATGTGTTTGAAACAAGATTCTAACAAACAAGAGCGGATCTTAAACACGTTTAAGTAATTTGTCACTGTCTGATCGGTCCATCAATCAAATAAAAATCCATTTGAAGGGCAGAAATTTAAATACACACTCACTCATTTTTCTGAAATGCTCATTCCTCAGTCTGGTCACGGGGAGCTGGTGCCTGTCTCCAGCAGTCATCGGACAAGAGGCATGGGACACCATGAGCAGGTCCCAGTCCATCAGGGACACACAGAGACAAACATCCAGATCCAGGGACAATCTAGACGCAGCAGATAGAAGCTGTGACCTGATAGAGCAACACTGCTGCCGGCTGAGTCACCATTCAGCCTAGATGTAGTTTCAGAATTCATTAAAAGTTAAATACTGTCATCATTTCAGCCATAAACATCAGTTTACTGAAACTGTATCTTCTGTGGATCAAAACCTGAGTAAAAATTAATTCTGGATTATTTAATCTGTTTAGATTAATTTGAATTGCCGAATTCCAAATAAACTCTGAGAGAACGTGTTTCCTCGTTATGAGTTATTGCTGTAATTCAAAAGTGAAATTTCTAGGGAAATATTCCTCCTTTAAAACTCGTTGAGGAACTTTAAACACTTAATCCACATTAAAATCCAGACCTGCACGAATTAAACCTACAGCAACCTACATTTTTGCCCCCTCTGAGTCTCAGAAGGGGAGCTTATGAGAGGATTAGGGCCCATTGGACCAGCTGGAATTCGAATTCATCCTTAAAATATCCCAGGAATGTTGATAGCCTCCTGTCTCATGTTGGGATTCATGAAATCTGTGGGAGGCGCTGTTCAGAGCCAAAGCAGCCAGGCCGGTTGGTGCATGGATCAGAGCAAGTGTTAGAACACTTCAGATTAGGAATATTGTCATGTGATTAAAGAAATATCTGTCTGCAACGTTTTTAAAGGCAACACGAGACGGACCCGTTCTGCTTCAGCAAACGGCTTTTTTCTGCGATCCCACAAAGGAGGATCTGTCCGCCCCGCTGCAGGTAGATAACTGTGCACAGGTAGTGTAATACGAAACTGGACCACGTGACCTGCTGGGACCTGAGGAGTCAAGGGAAAAAAAACTGCTTTCCATAAACTGATAGAGCAGCCGAGGATGTAGGCTGGCTGTTAAAAGACACATCCGAGAGAGTTTTAGCTGCATTTCCGAGCGTTCCGCTCACCTGTTGTTGTCACAGGACAGGTGTTTAGTGGAGTTTGGTTTCCGAGAAGGTGAAGCGGAAGTTTTGATGCGAGAGGGATCAACCTGTTCGATGGTTCTCGGTTTGGATCGACTGTCTGGATCAGAAGGTATCATTTTTCTTATAAAACCATTTAACAACCGGCTCTGTTGATGTTATAGAGCTAGAAACTAACAGAACATACGAGCTATCAGCTTATTACCACGAAGCAGGTGATTCAGCACAAGACCGAATGTGACTCAAAATTTGTGACGTCTGACTCAGCCTCACAGAGCAACTTAAAGGGACATTTCCTGCAAACATATGATAATAATGTGTTTCCATCTGCTTACAGGAGGGACTGAATCCTCACTGTGACTGCTGGAGCCAGTGAAATGGACCCAAGGTGATGCCAGGATGTCCCAGTCTGGTCTGAGTCGGACCTGCAGGTCACAGGTAGAGATGGCAGCGTGTCCAGATGTACACCTGACCAAACCCGGAGTTGTGGTGGGGAGTGTGTTAGTCCTGGTCCTGGGCGGTAATCCGGTGTGGGGTGAGTTAGCAGCCATTCTCGAACACTCCCATACAAATGAGCCATCCTTCTGACCACACACACACACACACACACACACACACACACACACACACACACACACACACACACACACACACACACACACACACACACACACACACACACACACACACACACACCATTAACAATGACACATAAAGGATCTTTTTATAGACACAGCAGGAACAAGGTGATCCGTGCGAGGGCTTGTCAGCATGTTCTGAGGACATCAGGAGGAGAATTTAGCAACATGGTCTTCCTAAAAGTTTGTTGTTTTGTGACCACGGCTGCCCTCTCTCTAACCCCGCTATCCGTTATCACGTTGTACTTTAGTCCTTGAAAACCTTTAGTCAATGATTGACTCACAGGAAGTAGGTTAGGCGGGTTTCAGTTTTCAAAACCAAACTTTCTCTTCATCCCGGCTCTCCAGAAACCAAACGCTAACAAAATGAGCTAATAGGAGTTTTTCTCTTAATGAGCTGCTGAGGCTTGAGTTTCTTTCTGCATTCCTGAGTTTCTCCTCCTGCTCTGATGGTTGAGAAGTTTCGCTGAAGCTTCATGCTGGAACCGAATAATCACGGCTGGACATGGATCAAATGAGCAGCTCTGGACTGGAGGAGGATCAGTTGCTCCAAAGTGTGACTGGGTTAAAAAGTAACTGTTGCTGTACTGCAGATTCCTCTTCTTCTCTTCTTTTGTGTCTGAAATAAAGAAACACAACGTAACATTTTATGGAAGTCTATTTAAGTGGTAATTCAGCTGCAATGGCACATTTGGAAAACAAATGAGCTTAAAAACTGTTTTCAAGCCTCTTAATGGCGTTCTAACATCATATAGCTATGAATTTATTATGGTGATTAAAAAGAAATAAATAAGGTGGTTCTCTAACATTCATCTAAAAACCTCCACCAATAACACGTTCAAAATTAAAGTAACCATTGGACCATCCGGTTGTGGGTCTCGCCAAACCGCCGCACTTCCCTGGGTCCTCCATTCATTAGCCACTCATGAATTTAGCAGGACACAGCTGGTGTGAGAGGTTCTCCGCTCAATAATAGCAGAGGAGAAACAGCCGGCTGCTACCACTCCACATTTAGGACAAACTACCAGAGTTCCAAAAAGGAAATCACCGTTTGAAGTCACGGACCTAGAAATACTTTTAGGCCCAGAAAACAGCGACCGGTGTTTAGCGCTACCTCGTTTCCTCTGGCTATGTGGGTTTCTGGTTCTAGCAGAAGCGCCTCAGTGAAAATACCTGAGAAGAGGGATGAGTGTGCTGTAACCGTGTTTGTGTTCAAAACCTAGCTTGTCCTGTAGATTGGCTAAAGCAGCTTTATGGCTAATAACAATAATCATGTCATAAATGGGCAAATTTGTGTTACTCATAAAACAAATTTCTTTAACGCAGATTGGAATTAGATTAGTGAAAACTTCAACATAGAAGGCAGAGTTTGCCTTTGTTCTTAATTAGATTTTGGTTTTGAGGATCAATACCAATCTTCAGCTTTTGCACAGCTCTAACCTGCTTCAAAGAACCATAATTAACAGGATTCACTTAAATTATTTTAGTTACCCTGGAAATTAGGATTCCATAACAAAAACCCTCCACCTGGTGAGTGGTAAATGGCCTGTATTTGATATAGCGCCTTCTAGAGTCCTGGAACCCCCCAAGGCGCTTTACAACACAGTCAGTCATTCACCCATTCACACGCACGTTCACACACTGGTGGGGATGAGCTACGATGTAGCCACAGCTGCCCTGGGGCGCACTGACAGAGGCTAGGCTGCCGAGCACTGGCGCCACCGGTCCCTCCGACCACCACCAGCAGGCAACGTGGGTGAAGTGTCTTGCCCAAGGACACAACGACAGCGACAGACTGAGCGGGGCTCGAACCTGCAACCTTCCGATTACGGGGCGAGCGCTTAGCTCCTGTGCCACCGTCGGTGGGTCAATTGTTGCTAGTGTGAATTAGTTCATGGACTGGGGAAAATGTCAGATTTGGGTTAGGGGTTAACCCTAATCCATTTACAGATTAACCTGGACAGTAAAAACATCCCATTCTCTGGATAAACGATTCAGATGATCGTGCTGAAGATTTGACCAACTTAGATTTTTTGTGCTTCTGTATTTTAAAATCATTTCTGGTTTGATTAAATGTAATAAATTAGATTTAAACCTCAGCAGTTCACCTAGCTGCAGGGATTATCTGCTGGATACTTTTTCTGAATGACTTCTAACAAAATGGTCAAATCAACAGCATTGTTTACCATTCAGGATTTTATCCAACTATAATTCACTTATTAAATCATGCTCCTTCTCAGGTCGGACGCCGGCTCACTCAGAATGCAACATTTACATGAAATGGGACTGGAGCAACCTAAATATTATTTTGCCTGAAATGGAGTGTTGTATACACAAGCAATGTCTTGTTTTTGTTTTTTACAGCTAATTTGACCACAAACGAACATGAGACCAATTCTACTAACACTTCAGTGAGTAATGATGAATATATTTATTTTACTGTATGGCTGCTGGGTCATTTGCAGTCACAGGTCCTTATGTGAGAATTAAACATTCGTCACCATGTTGGTTGAACCTGACTCATCACATTAGATTGTTTTCTCCTTCCAGGGACCAAACATTGCAGCTATCGTGGCCCCGACAGTCACTCTGGGTGTCCTGGTCGTCGTGTTGGCGGTTCTCGGCTGGTTGTTCTGTGTGGTGAAAAAGAAAAGACAGACTGAAGGGACCTACAGACCCAGTGCTGAGGAACAGTCGGGTGTTAGCAGCGTGGCTGCACCAGATGCATTAAAGCTGCCGAAGGAAGAAAGACTCATCTGAAGTTTGGGCTTCGTGTTTGTGAGGGACACGACGAGCTGCGCTCACCTGTGTGTGACGAAGCGCTCGCCTTCAAACGGATAAGTAGAAGAAATAATTCATCAAGAATTGATGTGGCTCTTATTTTGCTGCCCTTAAAAGCGCTGAACTGTTCCTGAACTGCTGCGTGAGAACCACCGGGCGGATCTTACTCTGGAGTTTTATCTTAGAACATTTCAGAGGTTTATTATGCACATTTCAACCTGCAGGGTTGAATAACCAGAAAGCCTTTTCAGTCCAGACATGTTTTTTATAATATCTAATTCTCTGACTTGATTCATCACAAATTCATCCTTTCATTTCAAATCCAAACTGATCTTTTACCTCAGATTTTGTATTTTTTACTTCTCATTCAAATTATTTGAAAAGGTCAAAATTACATCAATGTTGTTTTAAACTTTAATTAGATAATTTTATGAATGTATTAAACAATCAAGGATGTAATTAAAAATGTACTTTTACCTAGAAATGGTTTACATGTTTAAGTTTTCCTTCAGTAATCACGAGTTAAACCTATTTAAGTATTTCATCACAAGGATGTTTTTAAGTGTCACATTGTTTTTTATGCTTTTGTAAAATAAATAGTCCAATATTTGGGTCATTCAGAATTTCTAAACATATTTTCTATATCATCCGTCTTATTCCGACGTAGTGGTTTGTGTTTCTGCCAAAAAAAGGAAACAAAAGTGAGTTAAAATAAACTAACAGAAAGAACGGTAACAGTTTATAATAACTACATCTTATTTAGCCTTAATTACACATGAACTACTAACTACTAACAAATAATTAATTAACAATGACTCTTACTTAATAAACAATTAACCAATGCATTAATTAATGCTTTGTTTTTAATGATTAGTAAAAGCTGTTTACTCATTTCTTATTCATATGTAACAAACCATTAACAAATTACTTTTAAGCAACTGACAAACACATTAATTAATGCTTAACTTCTAATGACTGGTTTCATGTAAAAGCTGTTTATTTATGGCTTATTCATACTTAACAAACCATGGACAAAGTTCTTATTAATCCATTTTTACTTTCACTGTTACACAATTTAGATGTGTCATAATGATTAGGAGGTAACTAATACACGATTTACTAATTCTGCAATGCATTACTAATTAAGTGGATAGCTAATAGCTAATTAAGCCTATTTTGAGACTCTTTCTAAAGTGAAGACTATTTATGCTTAATTAAATAGTTGTTAACTTATTTATGCTTTCTATGGACCTGGTGTCCCTACTGAAAACTATGACTTCAATGAAAAAAGAATACATGACACTGGAATGAGAGAAATATCCTTTGTATTTACATTTTGTAAATTTGTATAACATACTGTATATATTTAAAACAATGAAACAGTGCCTCATCAACATACATAGCACCTGCACTGGCGAACACTAAATTATTATAACAAACTAAAATATGTGCATAAGTGCAAATAAAGCAGACTCCATCGAAACATGTAAAGGTAAATAAAATGCTTGACCTGTGGTTCTGAACGAAATATTTATGTTTGAAGAAAAAAACTAAATGAACATAAAAATATCAACACCTGCAATGGTTAACACAAAATATTCATAACAATATTTATGCAAATAGTTGTTGTAGAGAGAACTCTGAACGGGCAACAGTAAATCAGTATCTTGACAGTGGTCATTCTTATACTGTAAACAGAACTGTGAAATACTTTGAGACACCAATGATAGAAAACAAGGCAGTCTTTTCTTACTTTATCTTAAAAGGCAGTAGCTTTCCAGTGGTTTGTAGTCTTCAACCAGCTGTTTTACCTCTGGATCCTCTGCAATTGCAAATGCACGGTGTGCTGCAAACACAACGAGTTTAACCTGATTGCTGTAGTTTTTTAAGACTTCTGCATACTTTCTCGGTGCAGTAATTGACAGCTCTGCAATGGGAGCGGTTATTACGATGGTGTTTCGATCCACTCCGTAGCGCTTAAATGCTCGGGCCATGGTCCCCCCTTTCCTGTAAAGCTTGAGCAGAGATTGGTACCTGGACACAACCTGATTTGGAGATTGGGCTGGAATCATAATTCAGAAAACATAACCAGATTGGAAATGTCAAAAACAAATATGTAATGTAACAATGATTTTAATGAATTAATATTCAAATAAAACTAAAATTTGTAACATTTTTACCCCTCTGATAATCTTTGTCCTTAATCTTCGTTGATGTTTTTCCCTTTTCCTTCTTCAGTCCTTTTTTGGTATTCCTCTTCTTCTTCTTGTCATCATCTGATGACAGTGGAGAGGAGCACTCTGAAGACTCAGACGAACATTTCCTCTATCGCAGCTGTTGTGTTTAACTGAAGGAAATTCTGGACGTGTAAACTCATGAGAATGAGTATAACTGTTGGTCTTCCCAACTTGATCTTGTTGTTTTTTGCATAAACACAAATCTTGTTTTTCTTCCTTTACGTCAAGAGTTCGATTAGATGGAGTTGTTGTCCATTTATTTTCAACTTGAGGAATTTTCAAATAAATGCTGCAACAATAGTTAAAATAGTAATAATAGCAATCTTTACGTCCCCGTAAGCAATCTCTGACATTCCTGTTGTAGAACTAGAGGTTAACTCGGCCAGCCAAGAATAACCGGTTTCTCAGCTACTTTGAATAAATATAGTATTTTACATAATTAGTGAAATCAGATAATTGACTGTAGATAATTATTTTCTAATTGAAGCTCAGGTGCTCTGTGTTTTATTTGTGATGCTTAAATGTTTAAAACCTTATTTTTTGACTGTTGATCTGTGACTTACGTGTGGTCAGTGGAGGTATGAAAATGAAAATCTCAGAGACATCAAAGAGGCCTTTCCACGTGACTTTATTCACAAAGTCCTCACAATTAGAATAATTCTTAGTTTTATGATGAGGTGACGAGAGGGCAGATGGAAGGATCTCTGAACCAAAACTTCAAGAAAACCAGCAAACATCAAAGTCTAACACTAAAGCCTGAGTCATGCTTCTCCATCAGCTCCAACAGGGAGAGACACACACGGACGGAGACATTTTGCCCTCATACTTCTCTGTCTCCTGGGGAGTGTTGCAAAGCAATTCCCCACCAGGACACCAGAGGGCGTAGCGCTGTTCTGTGTTATCCTGTCATGTATCCGGTCCAAGATAGTGTGTTTATATTGTGTTTTTTACACGCTGAAGGTGGTCATGATGCGATCGGGTTACTCCTCTCGGATCTTGCTGATGAGCAGGGTACCCATGCCACAGCCAGTACCTCCACTCAGCTGGAAACCCTGATGGCAGTCACAGCTTTCAGCCTCTTTTCTCACAGCATCCAGGACTGAATCCACCAGCTCAGCGCCCTCGGTGTAGTGGCCCTTGGCCCAGTTGTTTCCAGCTCCACTCTGGCCTGTAGTCAAAGGCATTGTGGTCTATTATAAGTTCATAAAACAAAAATAATGTGCAACGTACAGAAAACAAAGTTGTCAGGTCTAAAAATCTGTCCAAAGGTCCCAGATCTAATGGAATCCATCGCTCCAGTCTCCAGATCCACTAGGATGGCAAGTGGTACGTACTTCCCACCTACAAGAAGGTCTAAACAATAAAATACAGTTCACTGTCTCCATGGTAGGTCCCAGTGGGATCAATGACATGCTCATCGCTGATGATCCCAGAACTAAAGAAAACAAGAGAGGAACAGGCGTGGTGAGAGAGGAGGGAGGCAGGGGAGTTTATAGCCCAAGGCTGGAAAACAAGCAGCTTGCTTAATGTTTTTACTATAGACTTAAGATCGAGAATGGATAAAAATAAAAACGTTTTCACCGAAAGCTGCTTTAATAAAGGAGGTCAAAGCAAAGCAGTAGACCGTAGTCTGTCTCAGGAAAGCATCAGGCAGGTGTCCGGATCTGACTAGCGCTGTTTTACACCGATGGGAAAATCAAATTTGAGTTCTATCTGGTGTTAAAATAAAATAATATGAGTGTGTATGGATACAGATAGAGATTAGATAGAAAATGGTTGGGATAAATTAAAAAGAGTGACAACAGGTCATGAATGAACGGGGGAGGGGAAGGTGCTCCTACACTGACAATAAGGGTTCTCCACCACTACCACCACCATCACCATCATCATCATCATCATCATCATCACTGAAAACCTGAAACTTGAATGTTAATGCAACCTTACTGGGACGTCTTAGCAGAAACCATTAAAATGGTCTGCTGCTCACTGGTGAACACTTGCTGTATGTTGGCGAGTCTCTGATCCTGAAATAACTCCACATTCTCCAGGAATGTAGATTAGCGCCACTCAGGCGCGCATATAGGGTGGGGGACGGGGGGGGGATGTGTCCCCCCCAGATTCAGATCGACCCCAATCCGTCCCCCCAACTAAGGCCAGAAAGAAAACAAAATCGGAGATTAAGCGCTTGAAGCTCCTTTTTCCAATTACATTGAATGCAGCATGACATAAACAAACACCGACTCCAGAGGCGCCAAAGTGGTTGCTGCTAGGATGCAGGATGAAGCGAAAAAGGCAAGCAACGATTACGGCGTGTTTAAGAAGGACCAACAGTGTAAGTAGGCGGGACCGATCTGTCTGTTTATGCGTGTGGGTTCTAGTTTCAGTACGTTGTTGTCAGCGTTGGGACTTACTCGTTATAAGTACCAAAGCCTCATTGCTGACTTTAACAAGTCTCATCTACAAATATGATCCCTCATGAAGTTACTACTTTACACCAGAAGATAGTGGAGATGTGGAACCTTCAGGCTGAGCAAATTTTGGGAGTTTTTAGAGCTTGAAAAACGCCTCCCGCCGAGAGGCTCCCAGTCGGGGAGAGGAGGAGATGCGCGCAGCATGAAGAGTGCAAATATTAGATAAAACGTATAATTGCCGGCAGGTCTGGTCTTTGTTGACAGACCTCTTTGTCTGGTAGTGACTGACTCCGATTATGAAGCAGAATATTGACTCTGATGAAGAAATTCACTCATCCAGCCGGGAAGATGGACGCTGCTGCAGCATCAGACAGCTGGTGCTGCACGAGAGGTGTGTGGAGTTTACAAGCTCCAAACGTTGGGTTTGATGTTGGTTTAACCTTCTCTGGGACGTGATGGATGTAGAAATGACGTAGCGACAATGTAAAAAAAAAGCCGTTAAAAAGGGGCCGATGCATCATGTATGGAAGTCAAAGTGTGTCACATAATCATAAAACAAGTAAAATACAAAATTTAAAAAGAGCTTTATATATTTCTATATAAATAAAAACTTTCCAAATATAATGAAAATTTCTAAATAACGTAAACATACGAAGGAACATCTGTTGGTCAGGCTGAAACGTTTGGGAACCACTGCACTAAGTGATAAGTGAATATTGTTTTTTAAATATATTTTATGTGCAGTTTTTAGGGCTTTTATGTTTTCTGTAAAGATCGGTATGCTGAAAATCATTTAATGTTTTGCATAAAGCATGAGGTTTTGGTTAGTAATTGATTGGGAGAATAACAAATGACTGAATTAAATAGTGGAGCGCCTCTGTCAGTGCGCCCCAGGGCAGCTGTGGCTACATCGTAGCTCATCACCATCAGTGTGTGAATGTGTGTGTGAATGGATGAATGATGCACTGTAGTGTAAAGCACTTTGGAGTCCTTACTCTGAGAGGCGCTATACAAGTGCGGGTCATTTATCATTTATAGTGTTGATCAGGCAGAGCTTTGTTGCACAATGGCTTCAGACACGTATATAAAAGTGTTAGTTTTTACGTAAACCTTTGGAGGAAATTACACAAACTGACTGAGCTCTAGTTAAGGCACTTGCAATAGTTTGTGTATGTGTACGTGTGTGTGTGTTTGGGGGAGGGTACTTTGGAACTTTGTCCCCCCCAGTTTGAAAATCCTATCTGCGCCCCTGGCACCACTGATGCTTGTCTGCATGAAAACCTGCACCTAAAGATGAGAGGAGGATACCTTTACGCCGATCTGGTTGTCACACTGGTCGGCCTGTAAATGCACAATTTCACACATCTTGGACATATGTGTGAGATACTGGTTGGTTGGGTCAAACCTGGGAATCTGGGCGGCACAGAGTCACAGGATGATGGCTCCTGCGTTACATGTTCCGGGATTTCTCGTGCTGCCTCTAGAACGTCCACTGGACTGAAACGGTGAGGCAACTTGACGTCATCGTCATGGCAACCAAAGACAAGAGGAGTGAGGGAGGAACAGAAACCCAATAGAACTGCATTACAGAGTGCAGTTTTCAATTGGACCCCCCCACCCTCACACACACACACACACACACACACACACACACACACACACACACACACACACACACACACACACTAGACAGCACTATGAAGAAGACTTACCCTGAAGGTCCCTGATTCGGTTGAGGACTCATTTGTTGTGACTTGTGTTTCATCCTTGTGAGATGAAAGACAACAACTGTGACATTTTCACACCAACACAACTCTACAATCCCAACATACTGAGGCCTTTAGTTTATTAACTATGGTATATTAATGAGACGTACTATCTATTTTTGACAGTGAAATAGAATCCATGTACACTTCATTTTTATTATAACCAAACTGTCCAACTGTTATCAGTATGAAGCCAGAAAAAAAAAGTTGATCATATGCTGGTCAGAAGCTCTACGGGTCTAAAACACAAGCACATTTAGTAAAATATTCTTAATTAAAGACCTAATTACAAATCTAAAAAACAAACAAATGGAAAAACTATTCTTTAGTCAAGAAGTGGTGTGATGAGCGGTCTACACCCTGGGCCTGTTGACGTCACATGGTTGTGATTCAGTACAAGCAGCATCAGTCTTTTTCTCCCTGAGCGACAAACCAGATTTTAAAAGTTACAACAAAAAACAAAACTGGATGTAAATTATACATATGGGTTACAACTGATACAGGTTTGTCAATCTAAACATTTGAAACTGATTTCATTCATTATTTCAGTGACATATTTTTATATTGCCGTATTTGCCAGTGTCGTTCCCAAACACACTTCATCCTTGATATGAAGCACAAAACATAAATGATTAAACGACCTCAAATAACTAAAGAAATAAGAATTACTCTATTTGTAACTAATTAGTAACTACTATTGATAATTACAAGCCCAGCATTTGTTGAAATGGACATAGGCCACCGGCTGTCATGAGATCATCTTCCATGAAGAATGTGTTGTTTTGGTCAAATCTTAAAATATTATTGTGAAAATAATCCTTAAATATTTGTTGGACATCTCTTAACCCTCCCGCATTGTTAATGGCGTCAGATGGGCCCCAGGTGCTTTTTTATTTTTATTTTTTAGGAGTGCACCACTTCACCCTTGCCAAGGGATAAGCCATGTTCAACCACCCCTTGTCCTGGAGGGGTCACCTGGCAGCGGAAGGGTTAAAAATACTTGCTGGGTAAGAAATCCAGCGGTTCATGGGGTGTTTTACTAAAACGATTCTCAAATTATTCAAAAAGGCAAAACATTTTCTACATGACAACACACACCTCTAGAGCCCTCTTTTACTGTCCTCCTTCACCTGTCTGAAGTGTCATTATAAAAATAACACAAAAAGATGGTTTCCTATTTGAGGACTAGAAAGAAAAACACACTGGATATACCTTTTAGGCTTATTTTAGATTGTTTCAGATGCACCTGTTTGAAGGCAGAGGCCATGAGTTTGACACCACGACTAAAATTCCTGACGTATAAACTCTGTACTGGTTCTGCCCCACGGTTCCTGTCTGGGGCAAACGTTCAGGTGAAACAACATTTTAAACGTTTAGTTGCTGCTGAGTCTCATCAAATCCTGAAAGATGACATTCCAGACTTGTTGCAAGGTACAAACCGGTTTTGGGTGACTCTAATCTGACCAATGGGGCTTTACTTCCTGCTTCTCTGCTATATTTCATTGAGGGCTGTTCACGCTGCTGCAGGACTGACGTTACACCCTCAGAAGGGGTGCACAGGAAAACCAAGAGCATTAGTGAGTCCTGGTCAAGAACAATAGACGAGCATGTTTAACAAGGGGCGGTAAACTGTGTGACCGTGGACTAAGGGACTTCCTGTTTGGATCTGTGGATCTACTAGAGGAGACATTACACGCTGGTGGTCATGTCACTTCCAGAGGAGGATCTTACATGTCCTGTTTGCTGTGACATCTTCAGAGACCCCGTTCTGCTGCCATGTAGCCACAGCTTCTGCAGGGACTGTCTGAAGCGCTGCAGGGACGCAGGGATGCGAGAATGTCCCGTTTGCAGGAAAAAGGGACCCAAGTCCAGTCCTCCATCCAATCTGGCTCTGAAAAATGTCTGCGAGGCTGTTCAGCAGGCCAAGAGGCAAAATTCAGAGGACAAGACAAATTGTAACCTGCATGGGGAGAAATTAAAGCTCTTCTGCCTGGTTGACAAACAGCCCATCTGTGTGGTGTGTCAGTCATCCAAACTGCATAAAAACCACGAATGTTTGCCCAAAGACGAGGCTCTGCAGGACTGCAAGGTAAGAGAAAACAAACCAGTACATTTGTGAAGTGTCAGTTCCGATTGTTGCCTAAACAATCCGAGAAAACTCACGAGTTAAGTGTTGATGAGTCATGTCTGCCAACGTTTAGGATGAACTAGAAGCTTCCCTCAAAAACCTGCGAGAAAAACTGAAAAGCCTTGAAGAAATCCAAAGAACATCAGCTGAACTGTTAAAGCATGTTGAGGTAACACACTGGTGTATGTAATAAAGTTGTTTACTCAAAGACACAGGAAACTGTTAGTAATGATCTCTGTTCAGAGTCAGATGCTGGAAACACAGGCGGCCATCAGGAGCCAGTTTCAGCAGCTACATCAAGTCCTCTACGACGAAGAGTCGTCCAGATTAGCAGCTGTGGAAAGAGAGAAGGAAGAGAAGATCACAGCAATGAAAGAGAAGATTAGAAACACCTCAGTAGATGTGATTAGTGCCACTGAGACCATCGCTGTTATCCAGAAGCAGCTGACGGAAAATGACATGGATTTATTGCAGGTTTGTGCTTTTTAGAGCAAAAGTTGCACGAGAGATGCAAACCAGACCAAACTCTGTTCTTGTGTTCATTCTTTCAGAATTTCAAAGCCACACAGGACAGGTAGGCCGATGCAGCCGAGTGTTTGGAAGATGATTTGATGCATTCATTCAGTGGAAAACAACTGTCGTTGCTGCAGAAGTCAAGGTGTGCTGTCTGGTTTACACAACATGTCTGGGCTGCTGATGGATGTGACGAAACACCTCTCCAACCTGAAATGCAGAGTCTGGGAGAAATTGTTGGACTCCGTTGGCTATAGTGAGTACACCCAGCTGTTACTGTGAAGAACCCAACCCAGACCTGGATTTAAATGTTACTGACGGGCTGATTTCCTGTCTTTTAGCTCATGTAACTTTAGACCCTAACACAGCACACCCCTGCCTCGTCCTATCTGATGACCTCACTTCCCTCCACTACTCTAAACAACCAAGCTGTTGCCCGGACAACCCAGAGCGCTTCCACATGAGTGCAGAAGTGGTGGGCTCAACCGCGTTTGATTCAGGAAGTCACCACTGGGTTGTAGAAACAGGAAGTAGTCCTGACTGGCTCTTGGGCGTAGCCTCGTCATCCGTGCAGAGAAACACTGAAGTCTCTGCTCGGCCTGAGAACGGCTTCTGGACTTTGTGTTTCCGGGATGGAGAGCTCAGAGCAATGACCTCCCCTCCCGCTCTGCTGGAAGTTTCCAATACGCCCAAACAGGTCAAAGTACAACTGGATTATGAGAAAGGAATGGTGTCCTTTCTGAACCCTGCAGACAACTCACTCATTTATGCATTCACACAGACGTTTACGGAGCCTTTGCTTCCATATTTTTACACAAAAAGCAGTCGACCACTGAGAATAAAGCCAGAGAAGGTTCTGATCACAACGCTGATTCATCCATTCACTCCACCTTAATTTTACCAGCATGCCGTGAGACTGACTCCACAGCAGCACACCAGTAAAGGTGATCAGGAGTTTGTTTGCAAATAAAACCCCTACATAACACACACACACACACACACACACACACACACACACACACACACACGCACACACACACGCACGCACACACACGCACGCACGCACGCACGCACGCACGCACACACCTAAGGGCACACTTACCTGAAGGCATCCACAGAGAAAGCATTTGTGATGCTGCACATTAAAATATGAGCAAAATCGAACATCTAACTAAACACGACTGTTGTTGTTTTATGTGTGTTTGTTTTTGTGCTATTTTACCAAATGGTCGTCGTCGTCGTCTTCCTCCGCTTGTCCGGGTCCGGGTCGCGGGGGCAGCATCCCAACTAGGGAGCTCCAGACCGTCCTCTCCCCGGCCTTGTCCACCAGCTCCTCCGGCAGGACCCCAAGACGTTCCCGGACCAGATTGGAGATGTAACCTCTCCAACGTGTCCTGGGTCGACCCGGGGGCCTCCTGCCGGCAGGACATGCCCGAAACACCTCCCCGGGGAGGCGTCCAGGAGGCATCCTGACCAGATGCCCAAACCACCTCAACTGGCTCCTTTCGATCTGGAGGAGCAGCGGTTCTACTCCGAGTCCCTCCCGAATGTCCGAGCTCCTCACCCTATCTCTAAGGCTGAGCCCGGCCACCCTACGGAGGAAACTCATTTCGGCCGCTTGTATCCGCGGTCTCGTTCTTTCGGTCGTTACCCAAAGCTCATGACCATAGGTGAGGATTGGGACGTAGATCGACCGGTAAACCAAATGGTGCATTTTTCATTTTCTTGTGTTTTTTGCTATGCGGGTCTTGTTTTTTTTGGGTTTGTCAGTGTTTTAAATAGCATTGTTTGCTTTGAGGAATACAGGAGTGCTTCATGCAACCCTGTTCTGCTTTATTGTTGACATTTTTCTTTCAACTCAGTAAAATGTTTTTGTTTACTGTTCTTTTGTTTAGATTAATGTAAATAATTCTAACAAACACAGAGGAATTGTGAAAAGACTGTGTCAAATACAGTCCAGGCCAAAAGTTTGGACACATCTTCTCATTCAATGAGTTGTCTTTACTTTCATGACCATTTACATTGGTACATTCTCACTGGAGGCATCAAAACACACGTGGAGTTATGTACTTAACCCAAAAAGGTGAAATAACTGAAAACATGTTTATGTTTTATTTGCTCTGATTACTGCTTTCCACACTCTTGGCTTTCTCTTGATGGACTTCAAGAGGTGGTCACCTGAAATGGTTCCAGAGGTGTTTAGCACTTGTTGGCCCCTTTGTAAACAGTCATGGTCATGAAAATAAAGAAAGCACATTGAATGTGTCCAAACTTTTGGCCTGTGCTGTGCTGTATGTTACTGTAATCTGCAACAAAATTAAATAGATAAAACATCAAATGTGATTTAAATTTTAAACCAACAGATCCTCTAACTCTTTCTTTGATCCCCTTAAACGTATGATACATTTTCAAACATCAGGAAGTCATTTTTATTGCCAACGAGACGATTAAAATAATTTTGGTGTCTGATTCTTAACGTTCTTTTTAGATGTGACCACAAAAAGGGGACCAGAAGCTTTCCTACACACATCACTAAACACAACAAACACTTTATTTACGTTAGTGGGGATATTAACAACGTTCACCCAGTGGAATAGAACTGGTGTTTCTCATTTTGAACACATGATGGCGCCAAAATCAAACAAATGTTTTGGTCCTTGCCGCCAGTGAACCTTACAGAAAGAATTAAAGTAATAAAATACTTTCTAATCGCATTAGTTCTCTGTTGTTATCTATAGTATCTATAGTATTTCTGTCTCTACTCGTGTATTTTTAATTAACGTGTATTTTTCTGCATTTGTCCATCAGGACAAAAGCATCTTCCTCCTTCCCCCTTTCTTAGTGAAGGTGCAGCTTCTAGAGCGACTAATATGATTTTTTCAGCCTGTGTTTATGCTGATGTGTTTTGTGTGGACACGTTTTGGCTGTTTGCTGCAGGGAAACAAGAGTTTAACTTCTTAATGCAAGCCTCTGACAGGAAAGGAACCTTCTCCAGGCGAGACAAGTAGACGAGCGGCTGGATGGTGCTGCTGATGTTCAGGAAGGCGAAGCCGGCAGGCTGCACATAGCAGCGGAACACATCAGGCGAGTAATGGTCTTCAAATGGGAACAGTGCCACCAGTGGGAGGTAGTTGAACACGACGATACACAGGATGGAGAGCACCATCTTGAAGGCCTTCTTCTTCATGGGATGCATTTCATCCTTCCTTGAGCTGTGGGACTTCTTCAAGGCCCAAAGGATGCTTGCGTTGCACACCACCATCCAGGCAAACGTTGTCAGGATCTCCCCGGTGAACACTTTCTCAAAGCTGGGAAGACCCCCCACCATCTTGGCTGCAGCATAGGCGAAGGTGAGGCAGAGCACCAGAATGGTGAGACTCAACCTGTACTTGAAGTGTTTCAGTTGCCCAAATGCGATTGGAAAGAGCACTGCCACAAAGCGATCCAAGCAGATGCAGGACAGGAACAGAGGAGCCGTGGTGTCTTTCACACCGAAGGAGAACTTAACGGCTGCCCACACCTGTTTGCTCTGCCACAGGTAAAGGTTAAGCAAGTTGAGGGGGGTCATGACACCAAAGTAGGCGTCCATGAAGGCCAAGCAACCCAGAAATATGTCTGAAGTGGAAGGCTCTTTTCTATTGTGGATGAGAACCGCAATGACGAGCACATTTGCAGGGATTCCCACAAAGACGTTGATTATCTGAATGGTGAGGTCAAAGAGAATGGCCTCTATGTAGTGCTCACAGCCGTCAAACACGCTGAATGGCTTCATGCTGATGTTAGAGGTGAAGTTTACAGGCAACCCGTCTCTATTCATGCTTCTAAATCTGCAGCAAACAGGACTCTGATGGGAGAAAAACAAGAAGACATTATTGATTGGATTCATTTGGTTGTCTTTTTCCCTAACCCTAACCCTAACCCTAACTACAGGCAGTGTCACATAAAACCAGCTGTTCAGCTGAGCTCTTGCTTGTGATCTTAGAGAAGTTTAATCTCAGTAGGACGCGAGAGGCTGCAGAGGCAGCTGTCAGACAATAAAAACATGTTCCAAACACCACCGGGGCCTCTCCTCGGGCTGTTATCTTGTTATTGTGTCTGTGTGGACTCTCCTCTGGGAAGCACAGACATGTCTAACTCACTTAGAGACTCCTTCTGCTGGCACCACCCATTCACAGCAGAATAAAAGGCCAGCGAGTCTCAGATTTGAACAGCAAAGGTCACGGTTCGCACGCGGGCAACAGTGGTTGAAATGTGGAAACGTTCTGGAGATTTTCAAAGGTCGTTTATGAAATGTAGATGATGAAATAAGCAAGAGAACTTGAAAGATGAGCTGAATTGAAACATTTAAACTGGATTTGGGGTTTTGTTTATTATTGTGCTCATTGTCTGGTTTTAACGCATTCAAGAGGACCGTAAGCTTTGTGTGTGTTGAGCTGAAATTCAGCAGTCTCAGATTTCACCTGCCTGCAGTGGTGGACTACTGAGACCACCAGGAGGACCGTTCTGGTTTGATGTGGACCTTTCGAAGCCTCTGTCCGTCAGCAGATGGAGATTTTAACCTCCCTCTGCTGCCAGCTCCACCTCAGGCTGCACACTCCCCCGTGAGATTAATCACAGTGACGGAGGAGGACGCGCTTTGCCAGCGATGCTTGTCCCCGCAGACTTTAGACTTAATCAATTGTGTTTTTCCTCAGGCATTTGTTCTGACAATAAAAACAACAAAACACAGTGGTAAACAGTGTTCTAGAGGATGTAACTTGATGCTGGACAGCACTAGTTTATCTCAAGACTTGAAATGATTAACAAGGTGACTCGAATGCCCTGAAATAATTTGTAGGTTAAACCGCTAATATGGACTTTTGTCATGTTAGCATTGAGGTTAAACAAAATGTTTCGGTGAAAGCGAACATTTAATTATGACATTACTGAAAATCAGGGTTTGTTTGCTCTCTTTTTACCATATTTGTGACATTTGTGATGAAAGAGAATAAATGTAATTGCATCCATAAGAGAACATCTGGCCACCTCTGATTTAATGTTCTAACTCTTTGGATTGTCATGTTATTGAGAATCCACATTTACACGTTGGAGTGATTGTACACAAGCATAACATACTGCTGTAATGTTGAATTTAGTCATTTAGCACAGCTTTGACCCAATAGAAAATTTGATAAATGCATCCAGAGTGATGCCCAAACACACCAACAGTTGTTCAGTTTCTTTTTTCTATCAGCTGTTAAAAATGTGGTGATCCGATCTTCCTAATGACAATAAACTCATAATTTAAAGACAAGCTGATGCTGTTTAAAGTCAGGGTAAGGCCTCCTCCTATCTATTATTCACCAATATTAGATTTTATTATGAAAACCAAAGCTTTTCAAATAAAACTAGATTATTAAAGTTTTAATATTTAAAGTGAATACCTACCAGTAAGTGCTGATCTGACCCGTGCAGTGAGTGTAAAGCAGTGTGTGTGTGTCTGTGTGTGTATTTATACGTTGTTTGAAACGTCGTAGATTCGACGCTGACCATGGAGGGAGGATCCGTTAGAAATCATAAGAGACTTTTGACTCTTTCTTTGGAAGCATCTTTGCTTCCTCACAGGTTTGGAATCCTAAGTGTGTGCTGGAGGTAGGTGACCTGTAGGTGACCTGTAGGTGACCTGTAGGTGACCTGTAGGTGAGTTGAAGCCCCGATTTATTTTTGACAGCCTGAATTGCTTTTATCCTCAACAGGAAGTGTGAACAAACATCGAACCAGTTCGTCAAATTCAGGTTCGCTCATCATCCATGTCCTCATATCTCCAGTTACTGGAGATCATCAGCATGAGGAGCCAAAGAGAAATGTTCTGGTTTCAGATGGTTACAGTGTTTCCTACAGAGGAAATGCCACCTGAAGCCCCTCTCTCTCCAGCATTAGTGAGGTGGTGTGAGTCAGGGTGGTGCAGAGTCCATACGAGTGACTCGTGTCTAAAAGTGATGTTTTCAGTGAATGGTTATTAACATAGGACCCAATGTTCTGTAACCTGGAGAAGCCACAAGTCACCCAGCAGAGACCATTATGGGTAGTTTGCATTAGCTCATGTTGGTCTGAGGGGGCAGTAAAGGACTGCACTTCATGCTCCAAACAGCCGGGTCTTAAACTTCTGATGCTTTTATAGATATCACATGATATCGACCTTTATTCTAAACTCACCAGAAAACGTTGAGATTCCATCAGATTTCATTCCAAAATGCCACAAAACTGTCAAAAGATTTAGTTTCAGTGAAGTTTTTGACTTAAACCTGTATTTTGTCCTAAGCACACTCTAAAACGGTTTCCCCAACATTCCTCCTGCTCAGTTTGCCTCCACCTGCTTCTTCAAATTAAAGTATTTACCCACCAGGCTTCTGGCATCAGTGCTGCCGCGGCAACGCTGACCCAGGAAAGCACAACACACCAACGACGAGAGAAATAATGCTAAACCTCAGAAGTTTACGTTTACTGAAGCTTCATGAATCTGCCACAACACAAAACATGTTGTTAATAGTGTAAAGAAAAACTTTGGCTGGTTCAGCCATATTGTACGGAGAAACTGTCTTTACTCAGTTTTATTGTTAAGAAGACTCAAAGGTTGTTTTCATCGATAAACTGACGATAATATCTGTGTGTCTGTGTTTCAGTTCAATGAGGAAACCCGTTTGACAATTAAAAGTTTTAATTCTTCAAATTAAACTAATGATTTTGAAATTGACAAACAGGAAATAACAATCAACATTGGCAACTTTGTGGGACAATCTTTAACAGTTGATATGCTGTTCTTGCTCAAATAGACCTTGTGGTGAATTTATGAAGATTGAGAATGTCGTGACATGAATGCGTGTGTGAGTCTGATTTTGCTTCAGGAGGGAACAGGTGTCTGAGTGAAGTGATGGTTTGGATAAACTTAGGTCTTATCAGAGAACTGCATCAAACGCTAAACACCGTGCTGTCTCACCGAACTCTTGTGGACCCTCTTTCGGATCCGGGCCGTGGAGGATGTTGTGGTTCATCCAGATGACACCGGCGGCTGACAGGAGACGTAGGTGTCGAACGGAACCGGTCCAGAGTTGCCCTCGGTACACGTGGATGGTAGAGCGTTTTGTCGATGCGCTTTCTTAAGTTAATTCACTCAGAAATCAAAAGACTCGGTAATGAGTCTGCGTTAGAAGTCGCGATTCAGCTATTCTGCCTGGCTGACAGGAACAGCGTGAGGGGGGGGAAGAACGAGCCAACAGGCTCTGCCCCCCCTTTGGTTTTCAGGTCCTCTCTCTTTCGTTGTCAAGCACGAACTGAAACCATAAGACTGAAACTTACCAAAAGCCTTTCTCCTCTCAAAGCAAACGTGTGCGTCATCAAATGTGTCTGGAGTTTACCGTGAGCAGGTGTGTGTGGATGTGTGTGTGAAGGTCAGCAACGAACATCCTCAACACTATCTAATTAAGGATTCATTAAGCCATTATAATTACCCCAAAGCATAAGAACCATTCATTTGATTAAACACATTTACAATGAGCAAAATGATAATGGTTACTTTAACATTAAAATCAAGAAAAAGAAGTTTAAACTTTATGTTTTGACTTGGTCTGGGTACAACTCATGGAAACACATCTTCTGGTAGACTGCAGGTGGCAGATGTTATGGTTTCCTCCCAGACTCGCTGGCGTTCAGGTCTTAATCTGTGGGTGAAAGTTCTCAGCGACCCAGCTTTGACCCAGCTGAGTCCAGCACCACCTTTGTGACAGAAAACCCATATTTCCTCACGTTACAACAGTGAAGCTTGGGCTTAGTTGAAGATGAAGCTAAATGCAAGTGGAAACTTTGAGGACTCGTGTCTTATATAAATGCAAAGTAAATACATTCTGTTAGGGCACGTTGCCCCCTTTGTCTTGTGTGTTTTCCATGCCTGTCTCATTTATGTAAATGTTTTCTTTAATGTTGCAGGGGACAGCAGAGATTAAGTGTTATAAATCAGGATTAGACAGCTGCATGCGTTTCTCTGGAGGTAATTTAGATACCAAAGCCAGCACTCAGGACCAGTCGCTGGTGACGCTGTGCAGAAACCCGACAGTCACATGGTTTATTCAAACTTGAGACGTAAAGAAATCAACGGTTATGTCAGGCTGAGCAGGAGGTTAGGACCCAAAAAAGCAGAACCCACGAGACAGGAGCAGATGTAAATAAGTCAATCCTTTATTTAAAGGAGGAGGCTTGGTCCAGCGGTCCAAAAACAAAACAGAAGCTCACAACTGATCACGGACTCGGGCGAAACTCGGGAGGAAACAGAACAACGTAGACACAACGATGGAGCGACAAACACTGAAGGACAAGACAGGGTTTTTAAACACAGAGGGAGGTGATCAGGGGAACAGGTGACAGGTGTGAGGAGTGAGATCTGGAGGGAAGGCAGGTGCGTACAATAACCTAAATGAGGGGAAAGAAACAAGCAGGATGGCAGATAAACCTTAACCTATAAAACACGGATACAACTAACCTAAGGACTGAGGGCAAAAATAAACAATAACTAGATGGATGAGGAGGACTAAAATAAGATTGACTAGGAATGATCAGGGAGTGATTAGGAGGACACCTGCGGGAAGTCTAGAGAGGGTTGGGGATAGTAATGGGACACAAGAGGAGAACCTGGAGTGAGAACAGGAGGAGGCTGGGGACAGAGGGACACAGAACATGACAGGTTAGGGCTAGTTGTGTCATGAATATGATCCCACCTGTGGCTAATCAAGCAGGGGGGAGGAAGAGCTCCTGCTTCACCGCCTGACTGGCTGGTGAGAAAGTGAACGGATGATGACTGATGATTGAGAAGCAGAAAAAGATCCTCTCGCCCCTTTGCCTGCCTGCTCAGCCGTTTGGTAGAGCGCGTCTAAAGTTCTAATGTTTCATTGAAGAATTTTAACTTGAACTTAGCAAGAAAAAAGTGAGTAAAACACAAAAATTCTAAAGAAAATGGAGACGTTTGAGGAAAAGGCATAACCTTATTACACTGCAATAACATTACGTAAATATTATTACAATTAGTATATTATTAATATTATTAATTTACATTAAATTAAAGCCCTAATAGCCCCAAATAAAAACATGCAGAAGTGTAATGTCTTCATTGCTTTTGTCTTGGTGAGGACGTTAAAGGTTACCTGCCCATAAACTGGTAACTGTTTAACCCCTAACCATCTGGAGGCTGATAACACTCCGTCTTATCAAGAACCCACAGAACCTGCAGCTTCACTGCTCAACGGTGAGGCTTCACACTAGCAGACGAGAGAAATGATGGGATAGAACACTCGAGCGAGCATGCAGGTCAGTCAGCATCCTGATCATCATTGGTGGAGTAGAGAGTTAACTCTGTACACACATGGAAAAGTAATGATTTCCCATCTGAGACAGCAGATTTCAGCCTCCGGTCTCGTCAGGGGCAACAAGCCGCAGCTACACTTGTGTTCACATACAGACACCCCACAGTCCACACAGAGAACAAGACGTGCCAGCACTCGCTGCAGACACCTGGCATCAACTGACTTGCTGTTGTCACATAAACTCATTCTCATGGTTTAATATTGACCAGTTTGTCTCCAAGGGAATGGTTTTGGCCATTTTTTCAGCCAGAAAAGCTGCTGCAGATTCCACTCATGTTCACCAGAGCAGCGTTTTGTTGACAAATGTTTACTGAGATCATGTGTTGGAGAGAGTAAAAAAATCCAGAGAGGTGGAAGATAAATCTTCTGATACGGTGAGTTAGAAACACATTGGGGACTCTGCTTTTGTTATTCTGTTTAAGGATCCTGAGAACGAACTGACTCTGTGGGAAACACCTTTGGAGACGGGCAGCTGCAGTTCGCCAGAAATGGAAAAAAGAGGAAACTTTCCTACATGTGGAGAAATGATCATCAGAGAGAAATAAAAACATATGGATCGCTAGATCAGAGGAGAAAATAGAAAGAGACAGAGAGAAAATGACATCATTACGCAGCGTTTTATTCATGATATTTGATGACACACTAACGCTTCGGGGGAGAATACCATCATTATGTGTTTGCATCAAATGTTCTCAGTGGCATTACGTGACTTGTTTAGTTTGAGCATCATCATCATCATCATCATCATCATCATCATCATCATCATCATCATCAGAGCTCTGGAGGATGTGCTCCTGACAGGTGATGTTTTTAAAAGGATTTTGATATCGATGTAAACTCACCGTAAACAAATGTTGTGCAGATCCAATCAGGAAAAATGGACCAGTGTTCCCCTTCTTTATTCGCTAATTACTCCAATTACGCCGTTTAAAATGCAGAGTAATCACCATAATTATGGCTCACAGTCTGGAGGCGGTTCAACAAACTTAAAGTTTCATTTAAAATCCGCTTGTTAATGGAGTTATTTATGGAAGGAGTCAACAAGACGTGATGT